GAGTGACATGAAAAGAATGGCCCAGAATCCACGTGTGAAGGAGTGGTGGAAGATAACTGATGCTCTCCAGGAGAGCCTTGTTCCTGGGGCTGTGAGCTCAGAGTCGGTCGAGCCATCCTGGTGGAAACCAATCGAGGAAGTATTTTATCAACCTTAATGGAAAGATCTGTCCTCGCACTTATCGTAATAATAGTGCAGAAGGGAATTAATAAACAAATGTTAAAAGAAAATTGCTCAGGATAATAGAGTTGGCGTTGCTGGATACTGTTTTACAGGATTCTGATTACTTCCAGGGCATACATAAGATCGAGCTTTGATATAAATCTTAGAACCAGTCAAGGCCTACAGCCAAGACTCTAGTCTTGTGAGATAATAAAGCTACCGGCATGCTTGCCTTGACCCAAGTCCGTAGGAACTCTAATACTACATTATAAGTTGTATGCGTGCCTGGCGGTACCAGAGAAAATCATGCCCTGCTCTTCCAGAGTAAGACTTGATTCCTGGCATAACTGGACAGTTACATCACGCCAGCATTCCCACGCATTCATCATATTGATGGTACAGACAGGCCAATCACTACCAAACATAATCCGCCTCGGTCCAAATGATTCGAGCAACACCCTGAACCATTTCCCCAGCACCTCGCAGATCTCGTTTGTGGAAAGATCATTAACTGAGTCGCCCATTTCTGAAAAGCCGCCAGAGAATTTGATATAAGTGTGCTCATCTTGGCCCAGTTCGTGCATTGCATCACGCCAGGTGATAAAAATGACATCGGAGCCAGAATTTGAGCCGCTCATGTCAGGCTTGCAGATATGGTCGAGAACCAAAACCACCTTCTCATTCTCGGGGACCTTATCTCGTGTCAATTTGGCAAACGCAACAAGGTCTTTTATCTGCTGCTGGCCTCGTCGGTGCAAATCAATACAAACGTCGAAAGTGAAGCCACGGCGGCCAAGGAGCTTCGTGTTCTCGATGAAATTATCATGCAGCATAGTTCCGTGTGGTTCATCTTGCAGTAGATATCGGAAACCCTTTACCCTTGACCACCCTAATCCGACAGCTTCTTCCGCCTTGAGCAGGTACAGTTTCATAGCATCTGCGTTGCTGGGAAGCGGTGCCCAAAGCACGATTCCCAGGCATAACCTTTGGTCTTCTGCACTGTGTCCTTCATGAGGGCGCGGCTGTCCTAGGGCGATACGCTTGATCCAAGCCAGTTCGCTGAGAGGTCCCCTCCACCCCGAGCCATCGAGCTCACCGGATTTGAGATCATTCTTCCGGTCCGTCTCAACGAAAATGAATCCCGACAAAGAGGGTTCAGACGCCGTTGCCTCCCGGTATTGGTCGACTGAGTGTTGACCAGCAAGAGGATGTTCGTTCGTGTACCAAGAAAGAGAACCGGTTTCGGACGCTGGGAATAAATGGATGTGAGAATCGATGACTGGAAGGTGGTCTTGAGATTTCATTGTGATGGATAGAGAGTGGCTAGTGGAGCGGTAATCTTGAACGATTGGGAAACAGGTGATAATGGCAAGTAGAGAATAGCTGCCTTATTAAGCACATAGCAGATAACCCGCAAAGACCATGTCAAACGTAGGGCTTCATGTCATCCAGCAGCTGTAGAAGCTATGCCATGTATTTAGCAGCGTGCTAGCCCCACGCACGTCGTATTTGCCTAACAATGGCTAGCGCGGGTTCGTACGGGGTGAACCTACATTGACCCGCTCGCCGATCAACAGCCGCCTGGCTTATTTTCCCGTTGCATATTTGCGCGGGTAATAGGGTAACGGACAACCAGGGTAAGAAATGACTGGAATTTGCCTAGTAGCTAAGAATGAGGACAAAAGAAGCCTGCGACTTATGCAGCGCATTTAGAACCCGTTACAACGGGCAACATGCAGAAACTGCCAAGTAGACATATCTTACTGTCACATTCGGCCAAGTTAATAGAGTACATGGGTGTTGAATATAGACTGATGATAAGGTTGTAGATACTAGCAAGCAGATGTTGAATCTTGCTTCTTTTAGTAAGAGTACATATCCATGGAACTTAGTTGCCAGTTTTGTACTCAATCTTGATGGTCCAGATGTACTTGTCTCCTTGAATGACCTTATCGGGCAGCTGTACTACAAACGATCCGTCCTTTTGGGCGACATCAAGCACTGTGCCATCGGCACTGCCGCCTATAGCAGTCACCTTATCTCCCTCGACCCAAGGCACAGGCTCTTTGATGACGAGTGGGGATGACGGCTTGCCAACATGGTGGATGTAAAATGCCTCTGGCGCCGTAGCAAAACGGAGTGGACCAGACGTCTGGGCAGTTGGCCAGTACCTGGTGCCGAAGATTCCCTCACCGTGACTCTTGATCCATGCTCCGGCGTCCAGGAGATTGAGCTGTTGCTGCTTCGGAATGGTTCCGTCCGGCTTAGGACCCATGTTCAGCAGGAGGTTTCCGTTGTTGACAACATTGTCTATCAAGGTGTTGACGATTTCCTCGCCCGTGAGGTACTCATCATCGGTTGTCATGAAGTTGTATCCGAATGAGAAAGGGTCGAGGCCACGGTTGCTCTCGAATTTGCTGGCCTTGAAAGAGATACCGGCATACCTCGAATGACGTCAGCTCGATTGATAACACTGAACAGACGAGTTATGGACTTACTCTGGGGTGCTGTAATCTCCAGCAGCTCCACAGCGATCGTTGAAAGTGACTTGCCTGCCCTTATCACGAGCCCAGTTTAGCCAAGGCGCAAGAACATCTGGAGCCTTGTTGGGACCTCCGATGTCACACCACAGGATTTCGGTCTCATACTTGTAGAAGAGGGCTTCGATCTGTGGATTCTGAATGTCATCAAGAAAGTCATCGACTTCCACGTAGCCCGTATATTCGATGCTCTTATTAGTATAAGGATTGGTAGGCGGCCGCCCGTAATAGTTTCCCTTGTAATGTTGGTCCCAGCCATACTTGACATAAGCTGGATTAAACCATTCTGGCATGCTGAAGTAAGTGCCTAGGATGTATCAGCAAGCTGGTCTTACTAACAGGCGCCTATATAGATTACTTACCTCGGCGGATCTTCGGGTGATTGGCTTTGGCAGCATCGAGTAGCTCTTTGAGGAAGTCTCGCTTTGGGCCGTAGTGAACCGTTGAGCGCTTGCTGACTGAGTCTGGGAAGTCGAAGAGCGCCCAGCCATCGTGGTGTTCTGGACAGACGACGTTATTTTCCTGCATCTTCATCTCCATGAAATGACTCACTTGTAACCGGTACGACATACTGCGCTCCCGCATCGGCAACCAAATTCATCCATTCATTCGCATCAAACTTGGCGGCGGTGAAGTTGGACACGAAATCGTCGTAGTTGAAGTTCTCGCCATATTTCTCGCGGTGGTACTGGTAGGTTTCGGACGGAAAGTCCGGTTGAGTCATGCGGAAACCATACCTAATTATAGTGGATTAGCATAAAGTATGGCCGAGCCATAGGATCTCACCTACCACTCGGCATAATCCTGTTTCGGTCCTGGTTTGTTTCCAAAGGCTGGGACGGAGTAAAGGCCCCAATGGATGAAGATACCGTATTTGATGTCATTGAACCAATCCGGGTTCCAATGATGGCTGAGGCTGCCTGATGAAGCCTGATAGTCACCAATTCCACACTCGCCAGAGAAGTCCTTGGTCGACTTCTTAGGATCCTCTTTCGAGCCCCATGTCACAACCGCCTTGGCATCGCATTTGGTTCCGGCTTTCACTCCCGCCTTGTTCTTGACACCGACTTGGACAACAGCGCTTTGCTTCGGTCCCAAGCGAATCAAGGTGCCGGGAGTGGTAGTCTCGAGCGAAGAAGACTCAACGCTGACTTCCAAATCGTCGTCCCAAGTCAGAGGATTCTTGTCATCTGAATTGGTGATGAAGAACTCGACCACCTGCTCATAGTCACTGCCTTCAATCCACTTCGAAGTAAGAACGGGATTTCCAATTCCGATAGAAGCTGGGCTTGTCGCTGAGACTTTTTTAGCCAATTTTTGTTCCGCAGCGGTCACGGAGCTCAAATTTCTTACCTCTTTTGCTGTGCTTTAGAGACACGGCTCCTACAGAGGCCGTTCCCAGGGAAAGGACAGGGCCAAGGTGCGAAAGAAGACGTATAAGCATCGCTGCTTCGATGACAAGGGCAATTGAAGAACCATGAAGCTATTGAAAGCTGATGATGATTGTATGATTAGTGCAGATGTGGCAGAGCTATATATAGGCAGCCATCAAGAATCCGTATAGCTTCCATCCAGCCAAGGAAGCTTAGTAGCACAAAGTAGACCCATGCCATAACGTCCAATTGACTAACACGGAGATGGAGATCAGGATCTATGCCTTGGCCAATCGGTTTTTTGGATGCACGATAAACTACTCCCTGTAGACACTACAGAAGCTTTGGTCAATATCGTATTTGTCTTACGATGTGCTTTGACGCAAGATGTAGACAACCCCTGCATAAAGACCATCCTTCCCCGCACTTTCAATTGCTGGGATTCACGAGCCACTAGAGGATCTACATAGACCTTCCTTCTCTTGTCATTCATTTACGACCATTTTGATCATGCAGTGCCATGTGACGCTGTGTTTGTCTTCCGCACGTATTGGAAAAAAGACCAGGATTTCACCATGTTGCCCTCCTTGAGGAAGTACTAAATTTGGATGTTGTTATCCGACGCCTATATGTGGATAATCGGAATACCTAGTATGAACAAGGTTACCTATTAAGTTATTATAGAGGCGGTATGTTTATTTTGAACTGAGATAGTCATAGCAGCAGACTTCTGCATAAGATAAGCAGAAGCTAATAGGTGCAATTATTAGTTGACATGAGGCTTGAGCAACTAAGCTGGGGCTGGCACCACCACCAATAAGCGACTGCCAAGGTATCATCCGACATGCATACAGTCAGACGTACTGTGAGTATATTCCCGCAAATCCATTCCCCTCACGCCTATAGTCCCGCCTCCACTGACGAGATGAGGCTCATTAAAGCGCGAACACTTGTTGAGACTCAGCGTATTTCTTTTGTAGAATTTTACGGCGATAGACCGAGATATGCCATTCTTTCGCATACTTGGGAAACTCACCAAGAGATCACTTACCAGGATTGTAATCGCGAATCGTTCAAAGCGAAGACAGGATATGACAAGATTCGTAAGACCTGTGAGCTAGCACTGGGTGACGGGCTCGACTATGTGTGGATTGACACCTGTTGCATTGACAAATCCAGCAGTGCCGAGTTGACTGAAGCCATCAACTCAATGTTTCTGTGGTATCAGGAGGCAGCTGTCTGCTACGTGTACCTCGTGGACAAGTTCGAAGGGTCGTCGCTAGGAGACTGCCGATGGTTCAGCCGCGGCTGGACGTTACAGGAGCTGATAGCGCCAAAGTTCATGAGCTTCTTCAACAATTCATGGGACTGCATTGGTAGCAAGAACAGCCTCATGGGCCAACTTGCAGTTATCACCCCAATCGACCCCAATATACTTGGTCACAATGCTCCGATCTCATCCGCTTGCATCGCAAAACGGCTCTCTTGGGCTGCTGGCCGAAAGACGACTCGTGTCGAAGACATGGCATACTGCTTGCTTGGGATATGCAACATCCATATGCCACTGCTCTACGGAGAAGGCAAGACCGCATTTAGGCGCCTCCAAGAAGAAATCATCAGATCTACATACGATCTGAGCCTTTTGGCCTGGACGCCACCGGTTTCATCGGATGTGGTGGAAGAAGAGTACTGCGGCTTTCTGGCCGATTCGGTGAACCATTTCGCTTCTTGCTCCGAGATGTACTCCGTCACGGACTCCCTGATGGACGAGGGCGAAATCAGCGTCTCAAACAAGGGCCTCAGGCTAATGGCCCGAGTGTGTGTTCTGGACTACTCAGATCAGGGTTACAGATACGTGCTGAAGCTGGATTGTATGGCTCCCGGTTTCGAGGGAGACTTTTTGACAATACCCATGCGTAAGGTGGGACCCAACACTTTTGTGAGGGCCCATAGCCTCTGTGAAAGCGATTACTCCTTCCACCTTGAGACTGCATCTTGGGGCGAAAGTGCGTTTTACACTGTTACCCTTCTCACCACGATGCCTAGTCTGGCCGTACGATCGCCATTCTCCGTGGCTAGAGGGCCGGACCTTATCTCATCTAGTCGACTGACGTTGGTTTCAATAGAGCTGCCGTCGGATATATCGATAGTTTACGCAGTCGAGACACCTGTCAAGTTCTGGGACGCAGAAGACAGGGCGTTCTTCGGACCCCATGGCTCATATCAAAATTGGGGTGCGTTTGTGCTCGAGACAAACACCCTCTTCATCTGTTTTTGGCACAAGGTAGACGGTGAGTGGGTTCTGGAGGCGAGTCTTTTAGACATGTCAAGACCAGAAGTCCACAATCTATGGAAGGACCTTTTTCTCTCGGCAGAGCAACTGGGCTATCAGCAAATGATCGTTCGGTATATGCTGAACAGTATTGAGGAAGAAATGGAGTCTTCTGTAGAGACTCGGCTTAAGGATAAGAAAATTACACTGTCGTTTAAAGTTTGGCGTGCCGAGAGTGAAAATCTATGCAGCGGTCCGCGATGGAGGGTTGTGTTCAGCAAGACAAGCTTTGTTAGAGAAAGCTCTTCTGAGTCAGAGCTGGATTAAGATACCTCTGATTTTTATCAGGCAGGGAGATTCAAGTCTTAAGATCGTGTCAGTCGCAGACGCAAAAACCACTTAAGCCGATTTAGTCTCATAAAAAGCTCAGACTACGTCTTTCTCTATATTGTGTTTCTAAGAATAACCAGTAGAATTACTACATATAATTGACAATAATTATAAGAGACTTTGAGTAGAAGATAGTAGTTCCTCGTGTATACAATACGTTTGAAGTAGTCTATAAGATACTTCTTGATACACCAGTGGCCTATATAAGTCTGATGCAAAGCTTTGCAACTCCGATGCTTGGAGGAACGACCACTACTTAACCAAGTGCAGGAATAAGAAGCCTGTTACCACCATTCGCACTAACAGCAGCCCCATTAACCCACCGGCCCTCTTCGCCTGCAAGGAATCCAACAACATAGGCAATATCATCAGGAACGCCAATTCTATCTCCAGCGGTTGTGTCCCTGATCTGCCCGTCCAGAAATCCCGGGGGCATCATGTGCTGACTGGCCTTGATCGAGTCCGTAGCTGTAAGACCAACAACGACACTGTTGAAGGTAGCGTTTTTAGACTTCGAAAAGTTCTCAGCGAATGATCGCGTGTAGCTCTGGAGAGCGGTCTTGCTGGCTCCGTATGCAACGGTTGGATCAGTGTTGCCCTGGTAGGCCAGAACGCTGGAGATGTTGATCACACGGCCCCCATAATCAGGTAGATGAGGTAGAAGGGAGGTAGTGAGAGAGACTGGGGCGTAAACGTTGGCTTGCATAATCTCGAGAAAGATGTTCAAGGTCGTGTCTTTGATAGACAGTACCTTAGTATGGTCGGCCAGGACGGCGTTATTGACGAGGATATCGATAACTGTGGTGTCCAAGCGCTCTAAGGTCTGTGCGATAGTTTTAGGCCCAAATTCAGGATCAAGGGCATCTGCCTGGATGGCTACTGCCTGCTTCACTCCGAGCTCCTGACATATCTTCAGGGTTTCCTCCGCAGCCTTGATGTTGCTTGCATACGTGATGGCTAGCTTTGACAAGCCTTTGCGTGCCAAATTGATCGAGATCGCTTGTCCAATGCCACGGGAGCCTCCAGTCACAATGGCGGTCTTGCCAGCCAGTGACCAAGGAGCATCAGAAGAAGGAGGGGCGGACATTTCGATGGATTTGGGTGTGTTTAGCTTTGGTTTGATGTAGAAAAGTATGTTCTTTGATCTGATTGTTATCGAATCTCAAGGTGACTTCTTGTATTTATAGTGATTCTAACTGATGTCCCTCTGGTCTGATGAGCCGGAATTAGCACATCTTTGATGCCGATACCCAATAACTTCGAAGTCCGCTCGCTGAAGGCGACTACAAGCTGCGAGCGGAGCGGACAAACTGGCGGAGTATGATGCCATAGCACAAAGACAGTCAAGTACAGAGACAGTGGACAGTTCAAAGAACCTTATTTTGTACCTAGCTCAAGCACTGACCAATCATGAATCTTATAGGACCAGGCAAGAGGCAAGTCAGGTTTCTTAGGAGTCAACTCTTGCTCGTATCAGATACAGAAAGAAGTTTACAGTTCATAGAGAAGTAATAGGCATTCACATTGAGAAGAGTAGCGACTAATTACACTGATAGCTGGTTTAAAAAACATATCCCATGAAAATCACAGGCTCTGAATGTCGCCAAACAATTGTCAAATTGCTTAAATTATCGCATGATAGGACGGCGTGAGTGTTGCCCTTTTGTTGCCAGTTATGACCAGGCCATGTAGGAGGTTAGCTTTGCCGAGGGCTCAACGCCGACGTCTCAGCTATGCGGTGGCCCGGTGGGGCTCTCTAAGCAAAATTGGCAATGTAATACGTTATCGTATCAAATACGAGGGCGCTACTACAAAGACGCTTCTCTGGCCCGTGCTTAACTCTACCTGCCTTTACCTAATCGAGACTGGCCAGCTGCAAAGAGCGTTGACATCAGGACTTAATGCAGCCTTGAACGGAGTTAACGGACCTGAGGCACTGGTGCAAAGATGCTTGCACTCTAAACTCCACCTGCATTTACCTAATTGAGGCTGGCCAACTACAGAGACCTTTAACATTAGGACTTAATGCAGCCTCGAGTAAAGAATGGAGTTAACGGACCTAAGGCATAATTAAGACGATCCTTTATTACCAGTGTTCTTGGAGTCTGCTCGCGATCCTACTACAGCCACCTTGGAGATATCGGATCTTAGTGGCAATAGAGGCCTACTATCAACAGTATAGTTTTTTAATTGTACGATTGACTTCGTCGTTGACTCTCCAGCAAATCTACGATGCTTGCTACAGAAGATAATATCCCTGGTAGGCTCAGAGTTATTTATGTCTGATAGTTTGGCTGATGCGTTCTTTAAGGGCCTCATTCTAGAACGCGGCATAAACCACAGGGCAATAGGAAAAACCATAAAGTATCCCAGTATACATCTCTGAGGACTATCGGAAAACTGTATACCGGGAATTCTAAGACGTGGCACCTCTCCCACGGTATATAATGTGTGACAGAAACCCTCAATGGTAAGTGCAGACTGGCTTATGAAACACTAAAGACATTACAGCCCTAAATTATGGCATATCAAGTGTTATCAGCACCCAATTCATTAAGCCCTATAGCACTACTATAATGAAAGCATTACCTCTTCACTGTTTCTTTCTCTCCGCCTTGACTGCTTGCCTCTCTGCCACTCTTTTAACAGGCCTTAGGGCATCTTCATGCCGTCTGCTACCGGCTGATATCCTTGCGCGTCATAGGCTGGGACCGTGCGGACTTTGACCTCCTTGTCCTGCTGAACGAGAGCGCAACAGAGACACCAAAAAGAGGCGCAACAGTCACCCATTCCACTTCCTTCAATTCCATACTTTTCACGGATTTCTCGACGTTTCATCATATTATAACTTTTGGCCAATTGAACATATTAGCATGAAACATATATCTCGCTAGTTCACGTAGAAGCGGCAAGGCAGGGGGGAAAAGAGTTCTTACATCCAACCACAACCAGTAAAGGATTGAATAGCGCAGAAGATCGCGCAGTCAGAATTGATGCTTTCAATCGGTTCAGAAGGGTTATCCAAACGCTGGGAAGTACGGCCAAAGACTGAGTGGTGGTTCATGTTAGCAACAGTTAGTGAACAAGCTCTTGACAACTTACTAATGCAAGGTAGACACGTGCTAAGCAAGCAGGAGTCAAGAGGTGAGCAACAGCCACTAAGTCCATTCTGCCAATCCTGTGATTGCGACATGGTCAATTTGGAAAAGGAAAGCAGCGACAAAAATAGTTTATAAAATGAAAGACTGAGAATAATAGATGCAGTAGTTTTGGCTTCTGTTGTGTTTTTCTATCTGGTGGTAGAGCGAAATCGCGACTATTAGTACTTATTGTCTGTATGGTCAATGCTTTCAGGGACACAGCATGCTCTATTCTGGCCATGAGTTGTATCCACCAAGAAGTTAGTAAATGAAACATAGTATGTAGAAAAGATTGTGAAGACAACATTTCCAAGGATCCTTTTGTCCACGGCCTGGTGGACCCCCTTTTGACTAAACCAATTCGAGAACAGAATCGACCTCTGTCTATTTATCGTATTCGATACGGGGAGGGATGAGGCGAGAAAGTGGATCCCATCAAATATTCAAAGATGTGGGCCCTTCGTAGCTCTCATTTCTTCGTGGGATTACGTAGTCTATTTCACCCTTGACTCGGCCTCCACGCCCTCCAGATACACTCACTACTCTCCTTAGTCTCGGCTTAATATATGCTTTCAACCCCAATGCGGCAGTGTCCTCCATATATCGTATTGGTTACGGATGTCAAGCACCATTCTGCTACCAATATGACGGACAGTGGAGACCAAATCATCAATTACGTTAATTTGAGAGTACCTTTTTAAATTACCTAAGAAGTTCTGGGCACTCTATTGTCGTCATCCAGAATTATGACAGCATAGTCATGTCTTCTTTCTATATAGAGATACTGAAGCCAGGCTTTGTGTTGTGCTATAACCATCATTGTCTACTGTTCCCAATACATGATGACTTCCATTTCCGCCATCACGAGCCGCTGCGTGGCCTCTGCTTTTGCGACCCCGACACTTCTTGGCGCTGAATTTCTGTCAATTGAAGCAACCGTCGTGCCAAACTATAGCTTTGACGTTCCGCATGGCTGGACGTACTCACAGCCAGCTTTGAACGTCAAAAACGTCACTTTCTGTAACGTCACCGTCACCTACACACACCCGGGCCAGAATGATACTATCCACGCCGAAGCTTGGCTTCCTACTCAGGAGAGCTACAACGGGAGACTGCAATCTCTCGGGGGCTCCGGATGGACACCGGGTCGTTTCATCTTGACTTATGCAGGAATGATCAATGCTGTGGCAAACGGGTTTGCCTCGATCACCACCGATGCAGGAATACCTACAGTCGCTAATCCTGTCGAATGGCTACTGGCCAGTCCTGGCAACATCGACACAAATGCGCTGCAAAACTTTGGCCAGGTTTCTTTGAATGACGAGGTGAGATACTATTAGCAGAGAATAACCAAACTTGATGCTAAGTCGCGTCTTCGCCATAGGCTATCATTGCAAAGCAGCTCATTAAAAGCTACTACGGCAAAGCTCCATCATACTCATACTGGAACAGTTGCTCCCAGGGAGGCCGCCAAGGACTGAAGCTGGCTCAGCAGTATCCTTCAGCCTACGATGGGATCATCGCAGGCGCTCCAGCTATCAACTGGGCCGAATTCTACATGAACACAATCTGGCCCACTTTCTACATGGAGTCTACCCAGCAATTTCCCCGCGACTGTGAGCTGAATGCTATTACCTCCCTCGCCGTCTCAACTTGTGATGAGCTGGATGGTGTTAAGGACGGTATCATCGGCGATGTTGATGGTTGCCGACGACAATTTGATCCCTTCAAGCAGGTTGGGAAGACCTTCAACTGTTCGACCATTGGCTCAGAAATGAAGATCAGTCATGCCGCTGCAGCGGTTGCCAATGCCTCATGGAGCGGGCCCCGGTTCTCTAATGGTAAATTCATGTACTATGGTTACGAGATCGGGAGTGATCTGTCCACAGTTGCCCCAACGACTTGCAATGGTACTATCTGCACAAGTGGAGGACAAGGCTCTATTCAATATGCTTACAGGGCTTTTGTCAAGAAAGATATGACAGCCCAGTTGAAGAATGCGACCGGCCGAGACTTTGATACAATCTTCCGAAACGTGAAGCAGATCTTCGCTTCTAACCTTGGAACCAACGAGATCGACTTGCGCGACTTTAGGGATGCCGGAGGCAAGATGATAACTTACCATGGGCTTGTAAGCACAATCTATTCTTTACCCTTCATTCTCTTCTTTAACTGACAGTGGCCAGGCTGATCAAAGCATTTCCCCAGGAGGGACGCTCCATTACTACAATCAAGTGTCAGAATTTGTCGGTAATATTACCTCTTTCTACAAGTATTATCAGGTTCCTGCCCTTGGGCACTGCTGGGGGGGTAATGGTGGTCAGCCAGAAGCATTATTTGATCAACTCCGAGCTTGGGTTGAGAACGGTACAGAACCTGAGTCCTCACCTGTGGTTATAACGAAACCAGACAACACGACTCAACAGCAAATTCTATGCCCGTATCCTCAGAAAGCTACGTTCAACACCTTTTGTAAAAGGAAGAATTCTACGGCGTGCTGGTCCTGTATTCAATAAGTGTTCTTATTTATATCAATTATCGGGAGTACGAGGGAAATAAATAGATGCAGCTGGACGTACACCACCAGCCTACTCCAACAAACAAGGTGCCGGGCTCAGCAATACTGGGAAATATTAGGAACATAAAGTCATGACGTCCTGCTCTGACCTTGCTTTTGGAGAGAAGGGGTGACCTCTTTTGTTTTGGGTTAGGTTGTATCAGTCTCACTACTCTATTACCTGGCCATTGTTCCTGTGCTGCCAATTCTGCAATGCGAACACCATCTCGCTCTCCATTCCGTTACTAGTCGCAAAAGCTCCTGGCGAGTACTCTTGCTAGTATTAACAAGCATATGTCTAAGTGAAACCAGATCTTACATTCCGCACTAATGTCCTGTTCCACCGCCCCAGATTGCATTGCCCACCATTTTAATGATTGTGGGAACTGACCAATCTAGGCTCTCACAATTAGAAGGGCACGCTGAGGGCCAGTTCGAAGCATGGTCTGTCGCCTGAATGCAGAACCTAATATGCTGAATATTTTGCCAATTCGACCGGCAACGTCATGAAGTCAACGTGATCCTAAGGTGGCTCTGTAACCTTGCCTTCAGTCTGACATTCGAGGAAAAGAATAATACTCTGAACAAACAAGTTGCTCCCAACATCGTCGATTGACATGAAACTTAAGGCAGCGTTTCGTAACTTATTCACAAAAGTAAGTATACTGGCCTAGCTGCCGGTAAGGATAAAAAACCTTAATACAGAGCTTAGTATCAAGTCCAACGTTTATATTACTATTATAGCTTTTACTATAGGTCAAATACCTACTGAGTTGAAAGTTAAGTTAAAATATACAGGGTAGACTAGAGATATATCGGAATCATGTGACTAGCGACATGGCTCGGAAGAACTGGTACCGGGAAAGTGGGGCAGTTTGCTGAAATTTACTCTCTTTCTCCTATCATCAATCAAACTCCACGCTGTATATACACAAATCTCACGTAATTGGAATACGGCCTAATTTATTGGTTCATTCTTCTATCCAGCTGCCAGTCCCTTCTCAGTAATTATGGGTAGTGAACAAAACACTGCGTCGCACGTACAAGATCATACCTCATCACGATGTCCCTGTCGCCCTATGCAACGCCGGGCTCACCAGAAATCTCGCAACGGATGTCGTAATTGTAAACGTCGTAGAGTCAAGGTACGTTGTGTTCTATACTCATGTTCTCTGTTTATCTCAATCATGTCGTTCTCGCATTTCTTTGACCGGTCTGAAGTGATAATTTTGACGTTATTGCCAGTGCGATGAGGGAAAACCGAGCTGTAGCAATTGTATCCGCTTTCCATTGCCCTGCGATTTCAGTGTCGATCAGGTTGCCTCAAACAACACCGCCCCAGAAGATCCAAATGCCTTACCTGTCATAACCACAACCCTCGCTCGAAGACGTGGTCGGCCTCTCAAGATTGACAAGTGGATTTTAAATTCCGATGCCTCCGGCCACAAAACTATCACGCAGCCAAGGCTTCATTTTCCGATGCCAAAAAAGATTGCGGATCCATCTCCGCCACTGAACACCAAAGACCTGGAGCTATTACACCATTACATCACAAATACTTCGCTCACGCTCGGGGACGATGTAGTCCTTTGGCGCGATAAAGTCCCGCGACTTGCTTTCGAGTACCCCTATGTCCTCCGACTCCTTCTCGCGATGTCTGCTCTGCATCAGACACGACTCCACGTTCATGGTTCCCTTGTTAGCCAACAACTTGCCACTGCCCACCACAACATGGCCTTACGCGAAGTGACCGGGTTGCTCCCCGCCATCAGCGGCAAGGACTGCTCAGCATTATACATCGCCACGGTGCTGATATGCAATTATCACTTTGCAAAACCACCAGTGATTGACAATGAACCAGACATGGTTGAGGAGATAGGTATCGCCTGGTGGTATGTCTTTCGAGGCGTGCGCTATGTTGTAGATTCAATGGGAATGGAAGCTATATTCTCTGGCCATATTGGCCCGTTCCCCCCAGAAGCACCTGGAGGAGACCCCACTGATCCACTGAAGGCAACTATAGACAATGGGTACATTCCATGGGAGAGACCATTGGCCAGTCTGGCAGTCTTGTTCTCTGGTTCCAACACAATGGGCTCGGAGAGTTTGGTAGTGGCTTCAGAGGCGTTGATAGACTGCTACCGCGAGGTGTATGGCACCGCCGACAAGCCAGAATATCGAACGCATGGTAAGACACATGTTGTTATGCGTTGGCCGTGGGTTCTCGAAGATGACTTCGTGGGCAAAGTGCAAAACTTGGTACCGGAAGCCTTAATACTGCTTGCCTACTTTGCCGTTTTAGTACAGACGCTAGAACGCTTCTGGTATATGAAAGGATGGGCCGAATATATGATAATCGGCATCGAGAAGAAGCTTGCTCCGGCCTACCTTCAATGGATAGAGTGGCCTCGAAACCATATAGGACGGGAAAGTACTGTTGAAAAACCGACCACGACATAATAGCGACGCACCGCGTCTACAGTAACGACACCATGGAGATACATAACAGGTTTCTACGATTGATATTATAAAATCCCTTCGATTTCCATAAGACGTATGCTCATATCAAAACACAAGATTACTCCACAAACATTGCTGCGCGCAAAAGCGATTATTTTTTCTGGTAAAAGAGTGCGTCAAATCTTTATCCTGTTTCTGGGATTATGGAATTTTACTGCAACTATGTGACTCTGCTTCTTGCGACAGGGCAAAACTGCTGTCAGGCTCCTCACCACGCATATACCCGCCTAGGCCTCCAAAGTGACGCGTTGTTAGAGAGTCGAAAGAGCGTATACCACCATACATATCAGCAACGTAACAAAAAAAGTCTGTCGTCATAGTCTAGCAAGCTCTGCACCAAGTGCTTTTATTAATAACACCGCAAATAATTAGCTTTAAAGCCTTATAACCTGGGATAAGGAATGAATCCAGGTTTACGGAAAATGTATTATATTCTTTTCTAGAGAAGTTTACCTATTTTACTGTTCTATACCTTATAATTTACTTAAAAATTAATAAAAAACTAAAATAAGGGCTATAAGAATAACTACTATTTACATAGTTAACTTTAGTCTATAAATATAAATATAAAATAATTTTTCTTTTTCTTTAATATAAGGTTTTATTTAAAAGCTTTTATAATAATTAAGAAATATTATAAAAAGTATTAAAAGAAAGATATAAATATTTAATTTAAAGTTTAATTATCTATATATTATAAGTTTATAAATAATAAAATAATTATAAATTAAACTATTATTAATAAAGTCTATATAAGCTATACTTTAAAACTTAAATTACTTATATATTTTAAGGAAAAACTGAAATATATTTTACACTTATTTCGCTTATTCTTTTATACTTAGAAACCTAAGATCCTTTATTAGGTATTACCTTAATCAGGAAACTGATTAACACGTTTCTGTGGAAAAACACGGAGAGACCTGGAAATGTACTATTACATCTGTGGATAATTACTCCGTAACCTTGCATAATTGAGTCTCTTTTATCATCTGGTGATCGGAGGCAGAACTGCTTTGCCGCCAGCTTTGCCACCAGCTTGCATGGCCACTAACCAACCGCAGTGCGACGATCTCCGAGACCTCTCCCGAAGGCCGATCGATTATAGCCGATCGATGTAGTTAAGATTGTCACTGCGCTGCGCCTACTACGATTCTGACGCAGTCAGTAACTATTTCCTGTTTACTTCGATTTAAACATGTTCTTCACACCTATTGCGCTACTTATCGTAGCTAACCCTGTCTTTGGTGGCACCCTTGTTCAATCTGACTTTTCTTCCTCTCTCGGCCCGTTTTCCATCTGCAATGCCAAATCACCATCCGCTGGCACAATCTCTCATAAGGCCTTGTCAATGTACTTCGACGAGAATGATTATGATGGTACTCGTGATGACAGAGGGGTTGAGATTTGTGTTTTCAAGCCTGAGACTAGGTCCAATGTCCCTCAGATGCATAAGGAAGGCTGGCAAGGTTTTCGACTCTACGTGCCATCCCGTGGCTTTCCGCATGACAAAAGCACGGTGATCGCTCAGCAATTCTGTCCTACCCGTTGCATATCATGGTGTGGAACTCTGGAGATCATTGATAACTCAGTAGTCGTGAACCATCGCTCGACTTGCGGAACTCCGGTGACTACAACCATCATTCATAGATTGAAGCGCAACAGTTGGCATGATGTCGTCATCCGGATGAGAGTATCTGCCGAGAAAGACGGCGCATATGAAGTTTGGTGGAACAAAAGAAAGATTTACTCCTCTGTTGGGATCGACGTTGGCTTTGGTACCTGGACGAAGGATACCCTTGTCGAAGGCTGGTATTTCAAAAACGGAATATACGCTCATGGTAAGTCTTTGTGCGAGAGAGAAGCTGTAAGACGTCCACAAACTGAATCAAAAAACAAAATCTGCAGACTGGGAGTCCTACACGAACACCACCCGTACCTTGTACTTAGATGATGTCAAATGGTACGAAACGGATGTCGGAGAATCGGATGGTTACAGAACCGTCGCCCCTCATAGCCATAAGATATGGACATAGAGCTTAAACTAGATGTCCACAATACTGACAACCTTCTAAACGCCCAATGAAAATTTCATGTCTGAGACTGCTAGGTGTAAAATATCGGTAAAACCTGCCCAGAAGAAATATCTTACGCCCGTGTTTACTAATTTTCATTCTAAAATCACAATAATAGACCCAAATTACTTGCTGCGACTCTGGCAGCATGATTTGCAACACGAAATCATTGGCACTGCTTTCATTCCATTAAGTTTTCCGCCCAACATTTTGGTGACATCATCAGGGGTGGTGATCATGCCATACGAAAATGAGCTACTTTTGGTGAATACTATGATATTGTTTGATACAAAAGCTACTTGAGATAACGATACTCTTTCGCTCCGTAGATAAAATCCTTCATACAAGCACTTTCTTAGCATAGTTAACTCAAAAACAGAAAGCTAAAAATTGAAAATTGAAAAGTAACAGCACTAGCATGACGTCTGCCCCATAATTCCAGCAACATAAAGTAAGGAGTGATCTCCTATTTAAAATAGTCAACTTATCAGTTATCCTACATTTAGGTGTCCATAACAATTCATAGTTGACTGCTGACGTTGACAAGACCATCACTATGTAAGACTGAATGTCGCTCAATTCCAGTTCCAATAATCACTCGCCCAAAATCTTTTGCTTCTCTTGCTCTTCTTAGCCCAGATCAGATCACCCCATCCCATAACGGAATAACCTCCAGATTTCTGGCCACCTTGCGAGTCATAGAAGTCCTTTGCCTTCACTGTCCATGGCGCCCGCCTGCCCTTTTCAACAACATACTTGTAGTAAATGAGGTCCCAAACAGCCGGCATGTCCGCGGATATGCCTCGTTTGTTTTCCGAAATAGTATTCCACGGTCCATCCACGAGGACAGCGAGGCAACGGTAGAAGGTTGGGTCGTACTCAGCCGTCTCGTTTAGATTATACCTCGCCAGGTACTCGGACGCCTTAAGCAACACCCCATCCATCTCATCCCAGACATTAATGCCCTGATTCTCGAGTGTTTCAGCGGCTAGGGCGGCCCAGGCCAGCCCTGACTGCGCGTGAGACTGGTCTCGACCGGCTTCGGAGGACTGACCAGTCAATTTATTAAAGTTTCCTGGAAGCCCTGCACAAATGTCGTTGAGATAAGAGTTAAGGGCATAATTAAACATATTAACGTCATCCAGATAGATAGCGAAATCGAGGAGAGCTTTGATCGATGCCATGCCATAGTTAGCGTGGCCGATAACAATTGATTGTCTGGCGAAGAGCCAATACAACTGGTTAGAAAAGCCAGTAGTACCCTGCCAGCGAGCCCCAGACTCAGTCCAGTTGCCCTCCCAGCGCATGATCTCAGCTGCGTTAACAAAGCTATCACCCTCAACACCTACGAGGAGGCTTGTATCGACGCCAATCACGTTGGTCAGATTGGTGCCCCAAGCATCCAAGATCTCAGTTGACTTTTTCCAGTGCGCATCTTCACGCGTGATGTACCAGAGAATTGCATGCTGATAAGCAGCTCGTGTGTCGGCGGAGAAGGTACTGTAGTTGCTGGGAGTTCCTCTAGAGATGATGGCCTTGGGTCCTCTCATTACGTAGTCCACCGAGGAGTACGAATCAGCCTGCAGGTTCCGGAACCCGCTGAACCAGGGCTCCTGGTGGTTTCTTACCATGGTGCGCATAAGCTCCAAGTCGTTGTGTGAGTGCCAAAGCCCGGGATGCTTAAACTGGCCTAGTCCTGTCTTTGCGCCCTTGGGTAGGCTAGGCATGATAGGGCCTCCGAAGATGTTAGCCACAAGATGCGATTCTATTATTTAAAACGATCTTACCATTCAGAACAGGCAGTTGGGTAACCAAGGCGACCGATAGCTGGATCCAGAGGGACGCTAATACGCCGAGCTGGAAAAAGATGTTCATCGCTGCTTTTTCTTCACGAATTTGGACCCCTCAGACAGAACATACCTGAGTGGCTAGATGAAGCGACTTCATTTTCGTTGGTCCAAGACTCAGCTGTTGAACTGCTCAAAGACAAAGGCGGAACACGCTGAAGATAGTTCTATGAATTCCTTCTTGAATGGACTGGGTTCTGAAGTACATTTAAACAGCCCCACATCTAGATGTCTTTTCAGTCTAGCTTGTGTATCCGTATTCTAGGACTATGTGGGGAGGTTCTCCGGCTACTAAAATGATTACCGAACTGCCGGCTACTCTCTGGCATATCGGGAAAATGACCGGACGGTCCCCGAGGGTCTGGAAAAAGCCGTGGTCTACCTTCTCCTCCCGCTAGGTTCCTGCCCAAGGGGTATCTTAAGCAAGATGATCCACGAGCCACGTGAGAGAGAATTCCATGGCGCTACTCCGTAGTAACAGGCAATTTGACTGCCCCGGCACCACAGCCTTGGAATGCCTAACGGAGCCTAGCTTATTTCGGAGCTGGGGAGAAGTCTCGGAGCCTTGGAGAATCCTTAGTGGAGAATTTCAAGGTCCAGGTCAACAGTCCTCTGGACTGAGTGCAGAAACTCCTTTTTGTTTGGGAGTCCGTATTAATGCAGCCTTAAGTGAAAAATGGAGTTAACAGACCTAAGGCATAATTGGGACGATCCTTTATCTCCTGTGTTCTTGGATTCTGCTCACTATCCCACTAGAAGGATTACGATGGCACTCGTGAGGACATACGGGTTACAATTTGTGTTTTGAATTAAACAGCTGGTAACAAGGTTATTGGAACACTCCCTTTCACAAACAGTAACGAATATCTTTGTTCTCCCAATCGGTCTCGTCAAGATCGACTTGCCTCCCGTGTTCAAGTATGAGTCCATTTGAAACAGGCTTAGGTCCATACTCCTGATTCCTTTGGTTATTCCATTTTGCCATTATCTGTCTCATAGAGATGATAATAGCAATATTGAGAACAAAGCAAGCAACCATAATATTAAATGCCGTCTGCAAGAAAAGATTAGTAGAGGGTTACAGTTAGTGAACAGTTATGCAGAGCTTACCTTATAAGCAGGGGCTTCTTGCGCGATAAACGTGAGTGGCCCAATAATATATCCAGTACAAAACCCAATAAATAACATCCCATTGACGGTAGCTTTCTTTGTATGCCCCGTGATGTTACTGGAAACCAAACTAAGAATTGTTGGGAAAGCGCTAGCGTGTGCGCAAACTAGCCAGAGCCCTCCAAGGCGGCCTGTCTTGTTGGACTCGGGAAGAAGCTTTACCATCAAAACCCCGGCCAAAGATATGAAATTGAGAAGAGCGATGGATAGGCATCGCGAATTCTTCAGAGTCATGGAAATGGCCACAGTCATGATGACAAAGAACAGAAGAAACGCACCTACCGACATAGAAAGAAGTTGAGTTTGGAGCACGCTGTAACCAAAATCCTTGATTATAATACTGCCGAACTATAATGAAACTGGTCAGCGGTGGCTCAAAGCGGTTGTCGAGGTAGAAGAGGTCTTGGGTATTTTGCATTACTTACTGCAGTCATACCACCACCTGGAATAGTTGAGAACACACAGATGAGAAAAAACAACCAAGACCTAGGGTCCATGAAGGCTTCTCTCATCTGTGTATGGTTCCACTCTCCTGTTTCGACTGAATGCCTTGCTCCCTGGACTCTTTCAAAAGCAAGTTTCCTCTCGTGTTCATTCAGGAACCAAGCACTTTGGGGATTAATAGGCAGAAGCCACGAGACAACTAAGCCCCAAATAAAGGTTGCTGCTCCGAAAATAATAAAAAGAAACTAGTGGAACCATTAGTTTTTGAATTGCAGATTGCTTCTTCTCTCAACCCTGCGCTCACATACCTGCCAGGCTTTAATCGCACTGTTGATATGAGAGATTCCATACGCAATAACACCACCGACTATATACGCTACACTGGCTCCGCCGTACCACAGACCGTGACGCAAAGCATGTTCGGAGGGTTTGTACCAAGTGGACGTAATTATGGTAAAGCCTGGGCTGATAGCGGCCTCAAAAGCCCCGAGTAAGATACGTAAGACAGCAAGGCTGGCAAAGCTCTTACCAGCGGCCATAACCATTTGGATACCTGCCCAGATGAGACTAATATTGAAGGTCAATGTAAGTACCTAAGGATGTAAGAGGGCATTCGGGGGAGGAAAACATACACCGTAATGACGACGACTTTAACTACTGAGAATCTGACCAAGAGGATTGAAGATAGAGGACTGGCTGCGAGAAATCCCACGTAGAAGAAGCTAGAGACCCAGGAGTATTGAGTACCGTTGAGGCTCTGCAAAATTGTTATCAGCGTTCATGTTACTGAGATGGATATAGGTTGACTTGCTGCATCCTGTATTATGCCCATAATTGCAGTATAGCCAAGTGACGTTTTGTCCAGATACTGGAGCAGATAGAGAACGAACATCAAGGGCATCAAGCTGTAACACTATTAGATCATTGGAAAACAGCAAGCGATGAGTTACTTACTGCAAGTCAATCTTTCGAACCAGCTTTCGCTCCTCGGCTGGGGTCATTATGAAGGTGGCGTTTGTCTCTCCGGCACTGGCGCTGGCATCCATGGTCGCAAGTTCTATTGCGGCTTTGGCCGAGCCAGAAACGTTGTGGCCTTCCTTCGAGTCCATGCTGCTGTTATTCAATAATGCTGTTATAATTTGTTAAGGCTTCTGAAGCGTGATGATTCAATAATCTCGGTGGAGGTTGTCTTGCTCTTTATACATCAGTCTGCCAGGCCATACAGATGACAATAGATAAGGAGTGGCCCTTGACTGGGAGATGCTTGGCGAATGCCATTATCGCCAACTCTCTAGTCGACTACGGATTACCTCAATTGTAAGAAATGTTGCCCCGGGTACATGTACCCAGATTCTGAGGACTCCGATTGGCTGGGTACAAGTACCCGGCTAGACGGAGATACATCCAGACGCTTCCCCAGGTTCTCGATCCACTCGCGCTAAGCGGGTACAAGTACCCGAAGTCCACTTCCCCGGATCTCTTCTCTTATTTGTGGATCGTAGAAAATGTACTTAGAGACAGGAAAGACCGTCCCTATTATAGGTCATAACTCGAATCGTCAATCACCTACATTATTCTTGTGCTGTTAAGAGTACGAATCAACTCACTACATCATGGACAAAACCCCTATGCTCCCCGAGCAGATGACTATCCCTTGGGCCCCCCCTCCACGGCCTGGATTCATTTTCAGCGGGGCCAATATCATCGACCCTGTCAAAGGCACGGTGCTAGAGAACGCAACAGTCTATCTCCGTGATGGTATCGTCAAATCTATCAATGGCGATGCCACAGAATGGAGCGACGATCCGTCGGCTGTGAAGATGGATTTACGCGGAAAGTTTGTTTGCCCTGGCTTGATAGACTGCCATGTACATCTCGCGGCAGTTCCTGGAATGAAGAATGTTGAGGAACTCAAGAATATGAGCCTCTCAGTCTCGCTCCTACGCCAGCCACAAGTCTGCAAGAATATGTTGGAAAGGGGCTTTACAACTGTGAGGGACTGTGGTGGTGCTTTGACCCCCCTCAAGCTTGCTATTCAGGACTATGTTCATCCAGGTCCAAGGTTGTTCATCGCTGGGCATGCATTATCTCAAACAGGCGGCCACGGAGACATACGAGAACAACTAAACGAACATGAGTGCTGTGGCGGAACTATCCAAGGGATTGGCCGAGTCATTGATGGTGTGCCAGACTGCCTGAAATATACCAGAGAGGAGCTTCGCCAGGGTGTCGACTTCATCAAGATCATGGGTGGTGGCGGTGTGGCTAGTCCAACGGATAAGATCGAGCATGTCCAGTTTTCAGATGAAGAGATCAAGGCTATTGTGACGGTCGCGTCTAATGCAGGCACATACGTGACCTCTCATGCCTACACACCCCAGGCAATCCGACAGGCAGTCAATCAGGGAGTTCTGGCCATTGAGCATGGGAATCTCATTGATAAAGAAACCGCTGATCTCATGGCTGCCAGAGGAGTCTTCCTGACCCCCACGCTTGTTGCTTATGCAACAATGGCAAAGTTTGAAGGCTTTCTCCCCCCTGATTCGGCCAAGAAGAACAGGGAGGTATTGGAGAAGGGATTGCAGGCCATCAAGATTGCTGCCGAAGCTGGAGTAACCATATGTTTCGGAAGTGACCTCCTCGGGGGATTGCACTTTGCGCAGTCCCACGAGTTTGGCCTCCGATCTCAAGTTCAGAGTTCGCTTGAAGTTCTGCGCAGTGCGACTATCAATGCTGCTCGATTGCTAAGGCAGGAAACGTTCTTGGGTCAGGTCGCCCCTGGTTTTGCTGCTGATCTTCTGATCTTGAATGCAAATCCATTGGACGACATTACTGTTCTGGATACACCCGAGAAGCATGTATTGGCAACAATCAAAGACGGACGAGTCCACGCATCCAGATGGTCGGAACTGGAAACGTACTTCAACCGACCTAAGAACATTGCTTAGCTTGTATATTAGATTGAGAGATGTATTAAATTCTGTTGAGAAACCAATGACCCATTGTCCTCGTGTGATTAAAGGCAACTGACTGGCTAACCCCCGCGAAGATAGCTGAAAGGTGCACTTTGGGATCCTAAGGGATAGTCTAATTTCCCACGTTAGTTTAGGTCTCAAAGGTCTCTTGAAATTCGCTAATCGGACCTATCGGATTCATCCCCTCGCAAGCTTGAAAAGAAGTGTCTAGGCAACCTTAGTTGGTAAATGTTTCACACGTGATCGTGCTTAGTTTCGGCGAACCATAATATCTGCCCCTCCTCTGAAGTCAATCCTCGCCACCCATTGAATTTATCAGAGGCATTACGGCTTCTTCTTCTTCTTGTTCTTCATGAATCTCACAGATGATCCCACGATCATTGAAGAACATTTTCTCCTTGTTCCCGAGTCATCACAGTTGTCCAACTTGCTGAGTCTACGATGTCCCCGTCAAAGAGATATCGCCCGCGCGTTCCTTTAGACAAGCGAAAAAGGGCCGTACGCGCATGTCTGTCTTGCAGAGAAAGCAAGAAGAAGTGTGTAATGACCTCGGTGTATCAATGCCAAGTGTGCACACGGTATGGCCTCATATGCACTTTTGAGCCGATTCTAGAAGATCCCGGCAATCACTTGTGCGACGTTGTATCGGAACCACATGGGTAAGGCTCGCTCGCACACGAGATATTATCCACTCCTTTCATCCACCTGTACAAGTTGCATGTACTAATCTTCTGATGTGTAGATCGACGGTGTGGGATAAACTGGCAATAGACGTTTCCCGAAGGTTACGGGAGGAACATCCAGACATCAAGCTCAATTCTGAACAATTCTCAATTGTTTCAAATCTTTTCAGCGAAGCTGTCCAGGAGCGTGGACCACTCTTATTTCCCCAAAGCGATAGCTCTATTGAACAATCATTTACAGCTTTGGGGCAGGTTCCTCAACCCAGAGTTGTGTCGGGGTCCGAAGTGAGCGACCTGCCAGTCAGAGGGGTCAAAGGTATGTCCAAGGTTGATTGTGAAAGTAATGGGGTATGATTAACTTTGCTGGCAGATCATGCGCCTTCAGCATCCCATGCTAGCTTTCTGGCTGCTGTTTCAGAAACTATCCCCCCAGTTTGCTCAACAGATGAGGACGTACGTAACATCGGGCACTACAGTATGATTCCTTTAGTATGTTCTGACCAATTATACGCAGGATCGCTCCTATACTAGTAGCCTCGCCCAGGAAGACGACGCATTTCTCATCAACAATATCATTGACCAACTTCCTCCTCGCGAGGTTTCTGAAGCTTTGGTTGCTTTATTTTTCACATTTCTGGAGAGCAACTGGTACTATTTCGACGAGAAGAGATTCTGGGGATTGTTTACCCATTTGTACGCTGATAGAGCTTCTGCGCAGCAACTGCACCCTACCGATGTTTGCCAAGTCCTTCTAGTCTTGGCTCTTGCGAGCACATTCAAGCACTTGGCCGAGCCATTCGAGTTTGCGAATGGAGAGCGAGATGTTCCAGGAAGCAAGCTCTTCGCGAATGCCACCAGGCTATTGTCAAGAGTAATTGCAGCGAATTCTGTCGAGAGCGTGACATGTTTCCTCTTGATGTCGCTATACCTGCTTGCCACTGACGACATTGAGCACCACCATATTTATCTGGGATTGGCCTTGAACCAAGCAGTTGGCCTGTCAATGCATCGTGCAGGGGTAAAGGCCGAAGAGACGCCAGAAGCTCGAGAGGTCAAAGGCCGAATCTTTTGGACTGTCTACACTGTTGAACGGTATGCTAGTTGTAAATTGGCCTGCCAACATGTTTGTCAAAGCTAACAATTTATACAGTCTGACGTCTGGTGTCATGGGCCTTCCAACAATGCTCCAAGTCAAGGACATCAGCGTTTCGCTGCCACAGAAGCGAAAAGATCTAGATGGAGATAGCGACCAAGCTGTAGATCGCCTGATTGCGATAATAAAGCTGACCATGGGGATGGACGAGATTATAAATGAAGGGTATGAAGCAACCTTTAGCTTTCACCATGCGAAAAAAAGCACAGTAATTGACGCGAATATCCAGGCCCATTGAAAAGCGTGCGAGTACATATGAGTGGGCCTTGTTCAAAATGGAATCCCTCAGAACGCCGGCTTCGATTGGTATCTCCAAGACCCTGGCATCGTCGTTCCGAGCCGATGCCCACCTACAGATAATCTACCAAATGATTTGGGTGAGCCTTGGTCGCAGTGCCACATTACGTACTGTTCGCCAATCGCTTCAACCTACGTCTGTCTTGATGTCTCCGGGAGACCAAGAAGCACATCTCAGATCCCAGAACTTGGTTGAACACTGCAGAGAGGCAGCCACAACAATCATTGACTGGATTAGTCAGTTGCATGACCGCGGCCTACTCGCCAAATATTCGTTCACAGATTTTCATACATGCAGCTCTGCCACTATTATGCTCCTTCTGTACTCTATACTTGATCCCAATCATGATTCATTACCCATAACACGAGGCATAAATGCTCTGAATTTTATGGCCGAAGGTAGTAGGTTGGCCATGAACGCACTACGACTTATCAGACGCCTACAAGAGACCATTCAAAAGTCTATTGGTGTTAACACCTCTGGCTCTGCAATTAGCCAGGCTTCATTATCGCAGATGGCATCGAGTCAGGATTTATCTGAGACTCAGACTATTGATGGCTGTAGAAACATTTCCTATGATTCTACTGGAAACTATGAATCTCATGTTTTACCTAACAGCCCAAGCTTGTTTCCGGCCTTAGAACCATGGTTACTGGAGTACTCCGATCCGTACTCAATGATGTTCGGATTTGATGGCTCTAGCTCAGCATTTGATACAGACACTCCTTACGTATAAGCTTAAGGAAGGAGAATATGTCTCTTACGCTAGGCAGTATCATATATGTATTCAACTAGCACCTAAGCGCTATGAAGTAATTGCCTTAACTTACAAGCGCTTTTGTTCTTTTATAATAATAATGAAAGTCTATGACACTTCATATTTATTCCAAAGTCCGTCCACATATAGCCGTGACATTCCATAATGAGTACAGAGACGCAGAAAGTACAAAACTTTTGGGACTCGACTTTATAAGCTTCGACATTGCTGGGGAAACGCTGTGGCGTAGACCGCAAGGCTGGAACACTTGGAATGTCACAATTTCGGTTAACTAGGGGCCTCAACGCTAGGCACTACCCATTCCAGGCGGCGATTAGCTTGAATTAATTCCGCTGACACTCGAGGTACGCGGCTTTAAGTGCGGCAACAATAAAGTGTTCTTCAGGGCTGCAGATGATCTTGTAGGCTCTGCGCCCGAGCTCTTTGGATTTTTTCTAGTCTAGGAGAGTTGATATCACGGCCCGGGGCGCTCAATATTTGACGCTGAGGTAAACTCCACGGTGCAACCCGAGCTTATCTACCAACGGAGAGGGGCTGGATTTCGCGTCTATATCGATGGATTCTTTTAGATATACTAAACAAGAAGACGTGTTACAAATTCAAAATTCTCTATTGGTAGTAGAGTATCTCCGGCTCTTATCATGCAGGGGGATATGAATGTTGGAGTTGTATCGGCCATAGAAGTTATCTTAGCTGGTCTGGTTGAAAGAACAATTGGCATATTGGCCATTGATCCGAGGCTTGATCAGATTGTCAATTGGCAATTGTCAGCAGCGCACTAAACTCGAGGCAGGTGGTCTGTGGCCAGCGTGACTCATACCGGAGTCGCCATCACTTGCGTCAGAAGCCTGAACCTTAACCTTGGCGACAGCGAGTAGTCATTTAGTAGGTAAAATTTACTTACGCCTTTTACAAAAGTGTGCTCAAGAGCAAGGTAGGCTAGGGCATAAAACGATTCTCGAGACCTGGATCCTAAATGACACAAAGACTTAGGTAACTTATCATAAGCTTAGGATACCTTTTGTGTTGACAGCCCTAAGTTTTGCTCCCCGAGGTGAGATTAGCACAAAGAATAGTGTTTATGCCCCAAACTCTACAGCCATTGCTTATAAAGTCAAGACTTTTCAGGCCCACGTCCGGCTACGACAAAACCTCCAACCTCCACTTCACTAATCACTGCAAAAACACACGATCGTGTCGCTTGTCACTGAACAGCCATGGACCTCCTTGACAAACTCGAAGCCATGGCGCAGGCCGCATCAGCATTTCAGGACGACAACATCCTTCAATCAACTATCACTCGGTGGCAAAAGCTGTTTGGATACTCACCCGCAATGGCCGAGAGAAAGATTATAGAGCACCGAAACCATCCCTTGCGTTTCACTATTTCTGAAGACCACTGGGCCGTCATGCGAGACCGGATGGAGGCTGAGGGACACGACCGGGAGTCATACGAGCACTCATACAGTCATACCTCAGGTGATATAGTCACCCAGAGCCAGGAGATGCCTATGAAGGAAAAGCGCAGGCTTCGAGCCGCTAACTTCTTGATCCAGCTCGAAGGCCCCTTGAACAGTGTTAAAGCCGTGATTCAAGCGGCGGACCTGTGGTGTCCATCCTCGACCGAAGTTCTTGCTGCCACCGACCTATCTGGACGGCCGTGTTCTTTCTTCAAGATCAACGGGATGGATAAGCTAGCCATTGAGGGATGGCTAAAAGAATATCCTCACCTCGATTTTCAACCAACCATTATTAAAGATCCCTATGCACAAAAGGATCTCTCGCCCACTTCTTTGTACCCAACGTTGGGCATCGATACAACACTGCCACAGTTTCGACCAGGGCCAGCCGCGACACCTCGCCCTTTGAAAAACGAATTACTTGTCTGGTATTTCTTTTACGGGACGCTTACCGATCCATCCTTTCTATCGAAGTTCTTTGGTTCCAACTTCCAGGCTGAATACCACGCAGCCACTATTCGAGGTGGAGTTTTGAAGACTTGGGGAAGGTATTATGCGTTCGTGGACGAGTTAAGCCACACCAACTTCGTCCATCAAAAGGCACTTCTCGTCGAGACCCGAGAACAGGAGGAGCTTCTACGGGCATACGAGACGAATACTTATGAAGTGGTTCGATGCAGTATCGATATGGGTTTGGAACAGCCCATGAGTGGCCTGACATTTCGATTTGTTACAGATATCATGGATTAGTGGAGCGGCCATGACGGCGCTTTTATTGTTGTATTATGACATATTGGTTGCCACTTAGACTATGAGCACATATACATCATCAGAGATCCGAATATACGAGTCCTGAGGTGTCTGTTTAACTGCATCCCAAGGCGCTAATAAATAACCCTGTGAGGACTGCCAATTCAATCAAGCAAGATAAGAGAACCTGCAGAGCGTCCATTATCTGACTTTGCAACCAACACAAGAAGAAACTGATCCCTCGGGACCTTCGCCAGAGCTGGATACTTATCGTCACGCTTAGGTCGAGTGAGACGACCTGTCCAAACCCAGTTGTTTCCCGTCCAACTCACAGGGGATGTTGGCTCACCATTGGCAAAAACATCTAAGCCAATTGAGGAGTCATTTGAGTCTGTCAAGCCGCAAGATCCCGTCACCTTGACTACTCGAACATCTGAGTCAGCTGAGTCCTCGCTGACAGATGTAATAGAAGCTATGTCGAGAGTTGGTGTCGCAATAGCAGGAGATGCAGGACTGGGGAGAGTAATGGGGATTTCATCTGAAGCCAGTGACGGAGCCAACGGAGGAATCTCCCGACGATTCGTGGCTCTCTCGTAGGCAAAGGCATAGCTCAATAGGTTAGAGTCATCATACGCTCTGCCGCAGAAAGAGAGTCCGACGGGCATCTTCTCCTCTGCAAGGTTACCCATAGGCACGGTTATACAAGGAACTCCAAGATGCTTCAGCGATCGCCCACCATTTGCATACTTGACTCCATCACGTAGCGCAGAGATCATCGACTCATAGTTTTCATCCGAATCAGCCAGGGCAACATCTCCACTGGTCGGGAACACCACAGCGTCGTAGTTGTTCTCGGCCATCCAATCATCCAAGTACTTCTTTCGCATGGCCTCCAAAGCCTGGAGCGCCTCCCGACACCCAGGTAGGTCAGCGAGGCTCTTGTCTCCCCAGCTCTTCACTGCAGCGACCATGTCTTCGTACCGGACCTGATTCTGCGACTCGGTGTGCTGAGAGGGATCATCCATTGGCGCAATGTGAGGGTGAATCTTGTCCAGTTCCACGCCAGATGTGAAGCTTGGTATATCTTTATCACCATTGCCGCGGAGGAAGCTATTCCAACTCAAGGCAATCATCTCACACCGTTCAATAGCTGGCCAATCCTCTGGTAGATGAGGAACATTCATGCTCTGACCAGGAAAGTCCTGTCTGGTGTAGTTCTCGAACAGGGGAAAATCAGTCTCAATGACGGTGGCACCTAGCTTCTCGATGTCTGCGCGTGCTCTCTCCCATAGCGCTCGGACGCCTATAGAGCACGCGTTCTCTGGCTTGGCACCTTCAACCCCAATGAAACATCGAGGGACAGCCAGTCGCTTGTTTCGGAGGGCGTCGGGGTTGGCCAAGGTCAGATAGTCTGATGGTCGAAAGTCGCTAACCTTCGGGATGGGAACATATGGTTGTGAGCGCCAAAAGTCAGCATCGCCAGCAGCGTCATCTTCCGCGACAACAACGTTAAGAACTTGGAAAAGGTCATCCATATTTCTCGTGTGAGGAACGACCTGGTCGCAAGTCGGGTACAAAGGCCATAGTCCGCGTGGAGGAATAACACTGCGGGAGGGTGCATAACCAACCAGTGCATTGTTGGATGCTGGTGAGCGACCCGAAGTTACGGCCTCACCGGCGAAGCCAAAGGCAGCAAGACCCGCGGCCGTAGAGACACCACAACCATAGGAGGAGCCAGACGCATAAGCAGTGGCCATATAATTCTGATTATATGGGCTCTCTGACCGCCCGTACAGTCCACGCTGACAGCCGCCGTCGGCCATTGGGGGCATGTTGGTCTTGCCAAGTACGACAGCGCCTGCGTTGCGAAGCAGCTCAACGATGGCGGCGTCAGAAGTAGCTTCGAGCTTTGCAAACGCAGGCGACGCAGCTGCGACTGTCATGCCTTTGACCTTGTAGCTGTCTTTGACCGTAAATGGAATACCCTCTAGAGGTCGCGGCGGTTTTCCGGACGCACGGTAGTCATCCGAGGCCTGAGCTTCAGCAAAGACATCTGGGTTTATCAGAGTAATTGAGTTGAGACAAGGACCTCGACAGTCATATTTTCCAATGCGGTGCAGGTAAAGCGCGACAAGCTCCACACTTGTGATGGCTCGAGTATCCAGCAACTGTTTGAGATCGCCAATGGTGGCGTCGAGTAGGTGAAGCGTGGTTTTGCTATTCATTTTGGATGAATTGGATGAAGAGGAACTAAAAGCTAGAAAGATGTTGCGGAAGAGTTTGGATTTTTGAAAAGACTGCGATAATCTCAATGGAAGATATCACTTATATACATGCAGCTACGCTTCCAACATCCTTTCCGAGATTGATTTTACAGTTCTCGACCTGTCTCCGAGAATGAGTTTAGGCCGCCTCGGCATTATCTTCGGAGAAGGGCTGCTTAGCAAAAGAATGATTGGCTCCGAGCTTCAACTTCGGAGCAGCTAAGCCCTATAGGGAAGGTCATTGCGATTCTCAAGCCCCCACGACTGCGGGGAATGTCCTACCCTCCCGCCAACATCCATCGATCAGTGATGTCTTCCGAAGTTGACAATTCAATTGAGCCCTTCCATGTTCGGGAGCCACTCAGTTCGCGGTTCTCATCGCATCCGTGACCTAAAATGACAGGGCCCGGAAAAGCCGCATGCTGTTGGACATGCAAAATTAGGCATGTCAAATGCGACGGGGCACCAATGGCTTGTCTCCAATGCAGCAGCAGAGAGATTGAGTGCCACGGGTATGGATCGGTTCCGATATGGATGGATGGAGGTCCAAACGAAAGGCGCGAGAAGCAGCGCATCAAGCTGGCTGTAAAGAAGAACTTTAGAGAGAAAAAGAGCCTCCAGGCACGTCGACTGAGAGATCATAATCGGACCACGAGTCAAGGACAAAACTTACCAAGCGATGCTGAAAAAGGCAATCAACTTGGCAACGCTTCTGAAAGTAAGTGCTTGTTTATCACCATGAGAGAATTATACTGAACCCATCAGCAAATGCCATCTCAAGAAACGAGGCATCGCCAATCTTGACTCCTCAATCTTTGCAGAGCCGGGTCCTCTCAGGACAGTCATTTGCTGAGCCACTTCACTACGATGAAGCCAGTCTTCTGATGCACTACCTAGACCATGTATTTCCATACCAATACCCTTTCTTTGACAAAGCAAGGCTGTCCCGAGGCTGGCTTCTATGGCTTCTCAGCAAAAATGGACCTCTATATCGAGCATCTATGGGTCTTGCAGCCTTACATCAGCGATCGTTGCTAGGCGAGACAAACAACCATCATCTTGAACTGGAGTTCCATACCAAAGCGGTCAGGCAGTTACAGGACTTTCTTGTGTCCATCGATATCAATGAGCTGCGGCCTGAGAACGAGACTCTGGTCGAGATTATCACTTGTGGTATAGCTCTTATTAGCTTTGAGGTAAATAAAGACATAGACCACAGCATATACGTGAAGCTACAAGATCAAGTGCTAAATGATAACAGGTCCTTCGAGGCAGTGCAACAGATTGGCAACCGCATTTAAGCGCCATGTCTTCCATCGCAGTCATGATGCATAATCAGCCTTCGCTTCCGCAATCAGTAGATCAGCTTCCTACCCCTCTCTTTGAGGGAAAGGCTACCGCGGCCATGGCCTTTCATTTACCGGTCCTGCTTTGGATGGATTTGTTAGCCTGTGTAGCCACGAGGGAGGCACCGAAACTTCCATACGATGAGTGGCTGGGACCTAACTGCACATTTCAGCTCGCACATATAATGGGCTGCCACAACTCAGTGATGAAAGGCATAGGGGACATCGCAACTTTGAGTCAGTGGAAGTCTGATGGTGCCGAAAGAGGCACTCTCGACCTTGAGAGTTTTCAGACGAAAAGACAACTGATCGAAGATGAACTGGAGAGCGCCATGGATACAACTCCTATGGCCTCAATGGGATCTCAAGGATTGTCTTCCAGGACCCAACCATCCATTCACATGAAGTCCGAGCAGCGGCCTGAGCAGGATTCTGTTACTCGCATATTTGCTGCCGCGGCATTGGCCCAGCTTGCTGCTTTGACTGCCAAAGTCTCAACTGACATCTCAGTGACCGTGGTGAGGAGAAGCGTAAGCCGAGTGATTCTAGAGATCAAAATGGCATCCCAAATGATCTCTCCTCGGCAACTGAGCTGGCCCATATGTGTTGCTGGCTGCTTAGCTGATCCAGACCAGCAGCCGTTCTTTGAAGCACTATTAAACAGCGTGCTATCAGAAGGAACCGGCATGATAGGAAACTGTGGCACAGTTCGGGATATCTTGCGGGCCTGTTGGACAAACAAGGCTCAGCAGCCGAATCAGCAGTGGGACTGTGGTAGTACTATGAAGCAGTTGGGTACCTATGCCCTTCTGATATGAGAGAAGTGCTGAATGGAAAAGTAAATACTAAATCCTTTAGGCCTATACCGCTATTATCAGAGTCGAAAATTGCCTTGCTATGTGTTTCCTTTACGCCCTACGCCCTACGTCCTGTACTCGATCCCCACCCTGCTCTTTACTCCGAGCGCCCCACGTCTTTCTCCGATATCTCCATACTCCGATATGGCAGTAGCATATAATACAACTACCACAATGGCCTCGACTGCTATGGTGCCCGATTGGTACCACCGACGTATCTGGAAGAATTGCTCACTCTCATCATTATGACAACCGGAAGCCTTGGCGCTGAGCTGGATGCCTCCAAGCTCGAGGTGACTAGTGCGCCAACCTCCAAACCTGTTCCAAATCATGATTCTCCCGAGGTCGCGGCTCTAAAGGACGGCACAGATCGTATGATCATTGTTTCCTGGACGTCTCAGTTAGGCTGGGGAGACCCCAGAGTTGTTCCATATGGCCCAATCTCGTTGATGCCTACATCCAGCGCCTTGCAATACGCTACGCAATGCTTTGAAGGCATGAAGGTCTTTCGCGGCTACGACGGTCGGCTTCGTCTCTTTCGCCCTTTGTTCAACTGTGAGCGCTTGCGTAACTCTGCATCACGCATCGCGCTCCCGAACTTCGATCCCAAGGAACTGCTCAAACTCATTCAAAAGCTTTGTTCGCTTGAAGCCCCAAAGTGGCTGCCGAAGGATAACCCTGGAGCGGCTCTCTACATCCGACCAACTTTGATTGGATCCGACTCCAGCTTGGGCTTCAAAGCGCCGGATGAAGCCCAGTTATACATTTTCATGTGATACTGGCCGTCTCCAAAGACGAATGGGCTTCGGGGAACACGTCTATTGGCGAGCAGAGAGTCAGTCGTTCGGGCCTGGCCGGGAGGAACAGGGGCTGCAAAAGTTGGCGGCAACTACGCTGCAGCTCTGTCTAAGCACGTCCAAGCAAAGCAGAGGGGCTTTGATCAGGTCCTTTGGCTGTATGGCCAGGACCGCCAGATCACCGAGGCTGGGGCTGCCAATATTTTTGTCATGTGGAAAACAAATTCTGGGTCGCTGCAGCTGGTTACGTCTCCTCTGGACGGGAACAACCTGATCCTCGCTGGCAACACACGACGAAGCATTATTGAGCTTTCCAGGGCCATTTTCGACAACGAGGATGCGGGAGATGGAATACGCTGTGAGGTGCTGGAAAAGAAGTTCACCGTGACAGAAGTGGAAGAAGCCGCTTGTCAAGACAGACTCGTCTGCGCTTTTTCAGTGGGTACAGCATATTGGATCCAAGAAATTGCCGAGATCAACATCGACGGAAGAGTCATCAAGATCGGTTTGGGCAAGACACCTCACGTCGCGCTGCTGAGGAGTCGGATGAGTGATATCATGTTTGGAAACCGAGAAAGTCAATGGGCGGATATAGTCTCGGAGGAATGAGTGGCAGATAGGTAACTTGCGAGTCTTTGTGATTCATCACCATTAATCCAAGGCATTAAATAGAAATAAAAATCCAATTTACCTCGATACGTTTACTATATGTGTGCTTTCGCTGTGTTTTACATAGAGTATCCCGACAAGTTGGTCTGTTACGGGCTTATTCATTGCTTGATTCATAGTTAAAGCTTATGACGTCTGACGGAGACACATCAAGCCAACAACTTGAAAGGTCCCAATAGACTTTAGCTTTCGGGAAGGCAGTATGCGCATAGCCTCATCAATAACAATCCTGCATATTGGTATGCTTTTCATCAGAGACTTATTCACTATTTTTCCAACTCTGCTGACACCTGAACCCATTGGGCCAAAGTAACCAAAATTCAGTGGATCTGACTGTGGGGCGAGTCACAAGCTCCGACTCGAAACTAGCTTCGGAGAGTGACTCTAGACTGCCTCTTGCATACTCCGAGGGCTACGGCTTTGCCGATGAAAGACTTTGCTGCTGATTCACAATAGCGTATAACACCACCAACTTTCATTCTTGCCATGGATCCTTCAAATATGTGCGTATATTATGTTAAGAATTGCGTGCTGTCAAGAGCCATCGCAACATCCAAGACTCCATGTCTACTGCGCTCCATAGAAACATCCAGCCCATCCGTTACCGTCTGCAACAAGATTTTCAGTCAACAGCAATCACCCGGAAAAAGTGCCTCTCAACAATGGAGAGTAGAAGAATCAGTTCGAACGTCGAACTTTTGCGCAGGCAGACCAATCCTCTACCAACCCCTGGCCAGCGAAATGTACTGGTGACGAGCGCCCTCCCTTACGTCAACAATGTCCCCCATCTAGGTAATATCATTGGCAGTGTTCTTAGCGCAGACGTCTTTAGTCGATATAACAAAGCCCGGAACCGTACTACCCTGTATGTTAGTGGAACAGACGAGTACGGAACCGCGGCCGAGACGAGAGCATTGCAGGAGGGCGTCACGCCTCAGGAGCTCTGCGACAAGTATCATAGCCTTCACCGTCAGATATATGATTGGTTCGATATCGACTTCGACTATTTTGGCCGCACTGCTACCCCGAAGCAGACTGAGATCTCGCAACATATCTTTACCAGCCTTCATCGCAATAGCCTTCTCGAGGAGCAGGCGGCACTGCAACCCTACTGTCCGGAACACAATGCATTCCTTGCCGATAGGTTCATTGAAGGAACTTGCCCACGTTGTCAGTATGAAGATGCGAGAGGGGATCAGTGCGATAAGTGTGGCAATCTCCTCAGCGCATTGGAGTTGGTCAACCCGCGTTGCAAGCTCGATGGCGCTGCCCCCGCTCCAAGGGAGACAAGACACCAGTATCTACGCTTAGACAAGCTTGAGGAGCGAGTCGCGAACTGGTTTTCTGCATCGGTCAAGGCTGGAGGCTGGTCCAAAAATGGTGCTCGTATAACAGAGACGTTGCTGAAAGAAGGCTTGATTCCCCGCCCCATCACACGAGACCTCAAATGGGGAACCCCAGTACCTCTTCCGGGATACGAGAGCAAGGTACTCTACGTCTGGTTTGACGCGTGCATTGGATACATATCCATTACAGCTAGTCACACCCCTGATTGGGAACTTTGGTGGAGAAGTCCTGACGAGGTGAAGCTGTATCAGTTCATGGGTAAGGATAACGTTCCTTTCCATTCCATCGTTTTTCCATCGACTCTTATTGGAACCGGGGAGACATGGACCAAGTGTCACTACCTCGACGCGACAGACTACCTCAACTATGAGGATGGCAAGTTCTCCAAGTCACGGGGCATTGGAGTCTTTGGCAACGATGCCGCGGCTACTGGTCTAAGTGCCTCTGTGTGGAGATGCTATCTTCTCTCAACTCGTCCGGAAACTGGCGACACACGATTTGATTGGACATCGTTTATGTTCAAGAACAACTCGGAACTCTTGTCCAATCTCGGTAACTTGGCCAACCGCTTGATCAAGTTCACCATCAAGCACTTCAACGGTCGTGTCCCGGATTATCCACCCGAAATCAACAACGAATCTTTCTCGTCTCTGAGCCAAGATGTCAACCAGCTCCTGGCCAAATACCTCGACAGTATGGAAGCTGTGCGCCTACGTTCTGGTTTAGAAATAGCAATGGGCATTTCAACCCGTGGCAATCAATACCTCACTGAGAATGCTTTTGGCTCGGCATTAGTGGCTGATGACTTCGATCGAGCTGCTTCTGTGGTAGCCCATGGGCTCAATCTTGTGTACCTTCTTTCTGCATTGATCTACCCATATATGCCCTCTACAGCCGCAGATATCACGGCTCAACTCAATGCACCCCTACGTGCTATCCCCGAGCAGTGGAATGGCCAGGACTTACTTCCGGGGCACCAGATTGGCGAACCCAGACACCTCTTCCGGAAAATTGATAAGAAGCAGATTGAGGAATGGCGCCAACGCTTTGGTGGAACTGCCGAACTCTCTGGCAACAACAGCATCCCAGGCAACGCCAACTCAGCGAAGGTGAGGCAGCAGCAGAAAGAGCCAAAGGGAGGTCCAGGAGAAGCCATGAGGTCTTTTTTGCCAGGGATGATTGATCTGAGAGTCGGCAAAATATTACGTGCAGTTGAACATCCAAATGCTGACTCTCTATACGTTTCGACCATTAACTGTGGCGATCTCCCTGGTACAGCCAACACAGCCTGGGATGAGGAGTATGGAACCACAGTGCGGACTGTCTGCTCTGGTCTGAACGGGAAGATTCCACTTGTCGACCTCCAAGGACGACCAGTCGTGGTCGTGGCCAACCTGAAGCCTGTCAACATGAGAGGCGTCAGGTCAGCAGCAATGCTTCTGGCCGCCGAGCCTCGAGATAGCCGTGATGGAGGGTCCTGCATCGAGCTAGTTGAACCACCTACTGATGCTAGGACCGGGGAGCGATTGCATTTCGAAGGATGGGAGAGCTGCACGCCTGACCCAGTGTTGAAGCCTAAGGAAAAGCTTTGGGATATCTTGCAAGTGGCACTATCGACTAATTCTAAGCGAGAGGTCGTCATCCTTTCGGACAAGATTATTGCAAACGTGGCACCTTCATCTTTCAACGGAGTGTCAGGGTCAAGCGACAGTAGATTGGTGAGCAACAATGGTTTGTCCTGCTCCGTCACGAGCTTAGACCACGCCATTGTGAGGTAAATTTCCATGGGTATGATAGACTGAACAAATCCTGCTCTAGGCGAGGAGAGAGTTAGTAATATTAAAACTACTGGGACTTGAGTTTCCATAGACGCGAGAGTGACCGTTTTATCAAGGTTTGCCTCATGCTGGATCTGGAAGGATCAATTTGATTTAATTAAGGCTTTTACATGCTTCTTGATATCCACTTTAAATAACGAACTTCCCTAATTCTCTCTGCTGGCCCCCAAGCCATCTCCAGACTTGGTCTCAACTACCAGGACCTCGACACATATTTAGTCCCCTTTTCCGAAAGTCGACTCAGCAGCAATCATTCCCAAAGCTATACGTTGCTCTTCTTATCGCAAGTTGTGGGTTCATCTAGTCCTTGTCAGCTGCCAGACCCAATTTTGGTCGAGCTCCTCGTAACAGCACAATACGCTTCGTATAGTAATATCTTGTCAATTACAGTATCAGAAGGTGGAGATCAAGCTACCAAATAGACCAAGGCAATCTTGACGGGCATGATCTTCAAAAGTTGGAAGCCCATCTTGACCATCCCCGTCAGTGGCTGAAATAGGGGATTTAGACAATGACAAAGTATCCGCATCACTTCCGTTACACCCCATCTGGGGATTCTGACGTTTCCATTCGCCGAATTCCATATAATCTGATGGGGAATATACATCGCCGACCGGAGACTCGGGCCCAGGTCCAAGGGAGGATGCGCTCTCTTGTGAGAACCCTTCTTTGCTCAGGCATAGTCCTAAGCCGGCGATTAACTGGAGGTATATTTCAGGCTGAATTGCCAGACTGTCAATCCCGAGGGGAGTATTCTCGTCATTGGCCACCGTCAAAGCCCGAGAAGAGTATTCATTGCTGACCTTTGGCAGAATATATCTAAACGGGAAACCTTGGTTCGCCCTTGCAATCGGCTCTCGAGCAGTGGCAGCTTGCAAAAGAGCTCGCCTTTTTTCATCCTGTGGATTTTCCTCATTGAAAAATAATTCTTCCATGCCTGTGATAGTCCTGATTTTATGTGCTTGGGCTTCTCCTTGGGCTTCTCCTTCGCATATCAGAGGAGAATGTAGACCTGCGGAATCAGTTGGACATGGTTGAATAAAGTCTGTTGAGGAGTCAAGGATCTGGTGGCCATATAGTAGTTGAACGGAGGAGTCATCAGATGGTTCAGGTCTGATACCAAAGCTAAGCCTGTGTCTAAGCATGTGTCAGCAAATCTTGTACAAGTTGCGCAATGTATCATTTCACCTTCTGGGCTTCCTTGCCAATGGCTCACATGGTATGTTGTCGAAAAGGCAGTTGGTGCACGCTCCCTCTTTGCGGGTCACATCGCAACGCACCTTGCGTTTATGACAAGAACGGCACGCTCTTGGTGCTCTTCTTCGAGATACCCCAGTTGGCCTTGGAGTGGGCTCCCTCGGAGAAACCATGATAGGAAAGAATAATGCAACGCCAGCTCCAGACGGGAGAGAGAATGGAGGTAAATTAACCGCGGCAAGAATTGGAGGATAGATGATGTAGAAGGAGTAATGAACCAGAGGGGGATTTTAGTATTGACAAGAAAGTGCGGTGAGGGACAGAAGGTGGATAGGATCGAGATAGATACAACAGTACCTTGAATCAACGATCACCTCGTGATTACCCGCGCCCAATCGATTGACATAGGCTTGTGTACATACGTCCATTTGTTGGCTGCATCTTGAGAGTGACGCTGTGGCTATTGGTGCAGCAAATGTTGCTCCCATGCCTAAACGAGCTGTCCTCGGCGCCGGTGAACTTTCTGTAACCAAATGAGAACCGAGGTGCGCCTTGTTACGATGGGTGTATCGCCGACACCGAGACCTAACTGTTGGCTGTTACATTCCTCCGAGAACACCCAATTATCCTGCAATAATGGGTATTTGCTTGACGCCTTCGCCTGAGCAAGGGCGGGCTCGAGGTCTGTAGGGCGTGCATTGGCCGAATCGGAGTCGGCGAGGTGTCGGAGTGTTATCTACGCTTTCGGCGAAATCGCTCACAGCGGTATCACGCTCAACTTTTGGGGCTTAGTTTTATTTTATATAACACACCAAACTCACTTGATAGAACCTAGCTTGAACAGCGGCAGCATTATCTACTACACTCTCTGTTTTCACGTCATGTCTTTCGAAAATATGAAGATATCCTCCGCCAAAGTCGCGGAATATTTATTCCAGCGGCTGCGCCAATTGGATGTTACTTCAGTCCATGGTGTGCCTGGCGACTATAATCTCACTCTACCCGATTACATTGAGCCGGCTGGCCTTACGTGGGTTGGGAATGCCAATGAACTAAATGCCGGATATGCAGCCGATGGCTATGCTCGCGTCAAAGGAGTCGGCGCTCTCGTGACCACCTTCGGCGTCGGAGAACTCTCAGCTGTCAACGCCATCGCTGGGGCATACGCCGAAAGAGCGGCTGTGATTCATATTGTGGGCATTCCCTCTAGAGTGACGCAAGAGTCGAGATCACTTGTTCATCACACATTTGGGGACGGAGAATATGGACGTTTTGCAGAAATCTATCGCCATGTCACTGTTGCCCAAACCAGGCTAGTAGATACCAGAACTATCCCGGACCAGATCGACTCAATCTTGCAACAATGTCTCCTACACACTCGACCGGTCTATATCGAGGTCCCTGTTGACCTTGTCGATGCCACGGTATCGGCATCTCGCCTTAGTCATACACTGACACTGCCAAGCGACCTACCAAATGTGTTGACGTCGGCTTCAGTAGCCACGATCCTGGACAAGATTTACTCTGCAAAGCAACCCCTCATCATTGTCGACGGCGAGGTGCGGCCAATGAGAGTGGTAAACGAAGTGCAAGAAATAGTCAGAGCTACCGGCTGGCCAACATGGGCCACAGGATACTCCAAATCTCTGGTTGATGAAGGTTTGACAAACTTCCATGGCGTCTACAACGGAAGCTTTGAAAATTCTACATCGCGCAATTTTATCAACCACGCAGATCTAATTCTCTGCTTTGGTCCTCATTTCACTTCAACCAACACCTTCTTGTTCTCAAGCATTCCGGATCCGCAGGTCACGATGTTATTTATGGATACGGAGGTCAAACTAGGCAACGAGATGATTCGAAATTGCCCGGTTAAACCGCTTCTAGCTCGCCTCTTGCATGAGCTGGATCTCTCCAGGGTACACAAGTATGAGCCTTACCCTACTCTCCCCAGAGACAGCCTCTTGTCATTTTCTGGTCTTCCCTCAGATGGACTCATTGACCAAAAGAATGTGTGGCGTCTACTGGGGAACTTTCTTCGGCCAGGAGACATTTTAATGGCCGAGACTGGCACAGCTGGCTACGGAGCTCGACATATTCCCCTGCCGTCTCACACTAGGTACTTCGGGCCTGTGACCTGGCTCTCTATAGGATACATGCTTCCTGCTGCCCAAGGCACTGCACTCGCCCAGAAAGAGTTAATGAGTACTAATCAGTGGTCCGGCATTCACAATGCACGCACGGTTCTACTTATGGGCGATGGCAGTTTCCAGATGACTGCCCAAGAACTTTCTACCATTATTCGACATGATCTCGACGTCGTTGTTTTTCTTATCAACAATGATGGCTACACTATTGAGAGGTGTATTCATGGACTGACCCAGGGGTATAACGATGTACCATCGTGGCGTTACCTAGAGGCCCCCCGATTTTTTGGAGCCCCGGAAGATACATTTACTTATTCTTCTAAGAACTGGGGTGAACTCGAAGATGCCCTAAGTAGTAAAGCTTTGAGTGACGGCAAGGGCTTGAGGATGGTCGAGGTTCTGATGGGTCGGGAGGACGCACCTGAGGGGCCACTGGCCCAGTATCTAGATAAGCAAAGGATGCGCCTTGATAGTACAGTCTAGCTGCGACTTAGTACTATGTCAAGAAAAATGAACTCTTTCCTCCTCGGCGGACTAGCTCAGTGCGGATCTCACTATGGTGACCTTTGACGCAGAGAACCAGAGAAACATGGCCAAGATCTCGAAGGCATAGAAGAGTCAGAGAAGGTAAGCGTCAATGAGTGAAGACAATATCCGTAACATTATGGGATTGGGGCACTTTGGGCCTTGCGAAAGGTCGATAAACCAGTTGTCCCAACCTTGACCTTTATCGATTGGTCCACGAGTATGCGACCATCCTGTCAATGTCCCAACTCTCTTATTGACAATCTGCAGTTGTTAATGTCAAAGACTGGGAGCAGTGAAGAGGTTTTCACTGGGTACAATATCGCGCTAACTCTTTTCTTGCTTCCTTATCCCTTACTCGAAGTTCTCTGTAAAGTCAATCTGAAGCTCACTCGACTTAGTATCTGGATGCCGTCCATGGCCCTTCCTTGGGACCTGTATGGGGCTTTTCAAGGACTTCAAATGTCTCGTATTCGAGCAGCTCTTCCTGCGTATAACTTGCTGTAGCATGACTGACGACCTCAAAACCGGTTTCTTCCCTGTCGCTACATTTCTCTTTACTACTTACTATCAGGGATACGATATCTAGATAAGATGACGAGACGACGATTTTAATGCCTTGAAGGACTGGAGTATCTATATCACAGTAGTAAATTCCTTGTTCCGTCTTCGGAGTCGCACATAAGATAAATTTCGGGCTGAATGCAAAGTTATCCACAGGTCTAAGGGGGCGTTCCCTGAGTCCGATGACGTTGTTGGCTACGTTTCTCCGATCCGACGATTCTCCGAAGGACAAATGCCGAGGGGCGATTCTTCTCTCCGACGCCTGGTTTGTCTTCCGTAACATAACACCGCAACCTGAACAATTATTCACTACGTTTCATTGGAATGCCGAAAGAACGGAGAAAGCCTGCTTGCAATCCTTGTCGGACCTCGAAACTGGCATGCGACCATGGACAGCCCGTATGTTCTAGATGCCGCTCCAAAAACCGGGCCAGTGACTGTGTCTATCGCTCCAGGCCATTCCAGAAAGCCAAGGGGCCGGTAAGATCGGCGTTAGCCTCTAGCCCAGTTCAGACGCCAGTGGCTCCAGTACTCGCTTCGGAGAGTCCTATTACATCCGATGAGTAAACCAATCCCTACCTCACTGCGAGTTGATCCCACAACTGATTCTTGACAAGAGATTCCCAAGTTTTGGCTAGTCCATTAGGACGTGGAATTACCGACTCGGCTTCAGGGGGTATGTTGCCTAGGCATCATCTGTACCCGAACGCCGGATATCTTGGATCTTCTAGTCATAGCGCGCTCTTCAGTCACTTACCTGTTGGGCTTGAGCCAGAAATGGCGATTGAGAGTATTGATTCCGAACCTCAATCATTCTCGTCATCCAATAGCAGAGTAAATGAGGCGCACATATCCCATGGCGCTCAACTCATTGAACAACTTTGTCGGTATGCAAGCATTTCAGATTGCCTTGACTTAGCCAAGTCATGGCTTCAAACTGGGGCCAATCTTGTGTTGGGTAGCATGTTTACACAGGCCTGTCTTGAGACCATCGGCCTTGTTCTAGTTGGACAAGGAGAGGGAGTCATAGACGCCAAGGACATCTCTAGATCCTTCTTCTACAACTCCCGTCAGCCTCTCCTGACGACTCCACATACGACTCTTGAGGAGTATAGCGCCCAGTTTAATCGCGTAAATGGTCGTTGGGAGAGTATATGCTTGGGTCTCATTGCCATTTCAAGGGCGACTATGGGATTTCGTCAACCTACACGCCCTTTCCCTACTGAGGCCCAGCTACGACACATACGGCGATTGACCATGCACTTTGCTGACAGATGTATCGATATTTGTCTCTCCATGGATTGCCTCAATGACCTACAGCTCATACTTCAATATGAAAACTTCATCCTGCATTCTCTTGTCGATGGTGATCAAAGCAAGTTATTCCTCAAACTATCACAAGAAAGCCTCTCTGACAACTGGTAAAGGTTATGAGTCTTGGAGGAGGTTGGGGGATCTTTCGAGTTCTCTATTCGCTCTTGGTTATCACCAGCAACTGGAGAGCAGTGGACCTATACCGCCCTTCCTCCGAAGTCTACGCCAAGCGGCATTTGCATCCTCTTACTCCGCTGATAAGAATGTATCCATCTTTCTCGGCAGACCCCCCCGAATATCCAGGAAGTTCTGTCATTTCCGGCAGCTCAGCCTCGATGCGTACTACTCCTACACCTGGGCCCCTGATTCCAAGCTCGACCTATTTGCTGATGCGCGCTGGGCAGCCCTTTGTGCGATTCTGAAGGAGGAGATCATAGTGGAGCTGTTTGGGGAAGAGCAATTTGACAAGAGAGTTGAGAAAGCACGGTTTGTTATATCTTCTGATGCATAAGTCCAGCTGACATGTCTAGCCACATCCAAACCACCGCAGAACTGCAGTGGTCATCATTACCGCAACACTTTCGGCTTGAAATGCCTATGAAATCTTATGATCGACCAGCTGCTGAGCTAGATCTCATGCTCGGTGCCAAGCTCAAACACCTTCACGTTCTATTTCTTCAGCATCTCGCGCTGGTCCGTCGAGTCTCAGAACCCGATACTCAACTCCGCAATATTGCACAGGAAATACTCGGCCTCGTAGTGGAAGCTATCCTCTTCAAAGATCACCTAGTGCACTCTGGAACATCTCTCACCTGGAAAGTAAGACAGCGCCCAGCTAGGTTACGGTCACGGTCAATGTTAACGACTCCAACAGGTGGTATACTACGGTCTAGCAGCAGCAGGTGTCACTTGTTTGTCCTTGCTCCAGAATCAGCAACCTGCAGAACATGAAGCAGTTGCTAGTCCCAAGGTACTTCGAGACCTCGGCGTGTTGGTCGCCGAAATTGAATTTGGGACTTTGGTCTATAAAGAGGATGCCAACTATGCATTATTGGCTGGAGCTACACAGACTATCAAGAATATTCTGGATAGTATCTCCAGATCCAGACTCAGTCAACGGCGCTTGACTGTACAGGCACCTGATGCTGCGGTTCAGGATGACCCCGAACTTGGTTCCACATCGTGGGACCTATGGGGCACAGGTAATCTACAGGACTTTGATACCAACTTTTGGCTCATGCTAGCAGAGCACCCCTTGACATTTAATACATAAAGAGCATTGGTCTTGAATGTAAACAACTTCCCTAGCTCGTAAGAGGTGATTAAGGTGATTGAATTGCCTACAGAACTAGACGTTAAGCTGTCAATAATTGTTCATAAAAACCACCAAATCAGAGTTCCTTGTTATGCAAATGAATCTCAAGAATCCAATGCCTCTTATTCCCATCCTTGCCAACCGTGTTCATAGAGTTGCTATTCCCCTGCGCAATGTAAAGGGTAATCTTGTCCTTAGGAATGCGTTCATGCGGAAAAGACCCAACAATATGTCCCGCAATCGGCGCACCAAACTCAAAACCCTCCTTCTCAGCAGCCTCCTTGGCAATATTGTAGAGTTGTTCTCCCGTCATGTCTGGATTCTCGCAGTACCTGGCTTTGACGTCGATCCAGATTGGCTCAAGGGCGTCGCGCAGCTTAATCTTATTAGGGTCGTTTCCCAATACAAAGGTGCGGCCGAAATCAGCTTCCCACTCTTCAAAGACAGGCCCAAGGTCGACGATGAGGATGTCGTCTTGTTGAATTATTCTGTCGGGTGGGTTATCCTCGAATGGCCTCAATGTGTTGGGTCCACTGCGAATCACTCGTTTATGCCAATGAGTCCTCACACCATGACGCTCAGCACCAAGAGCATGGATTTCGTTGTTCAACTCTTTCTCGCTGATGCCAGGGCGGATGAGACTTTTCTCAATCTCATCGAATAGCTCGATAGCCTTTTTCTCGGCATCTCGAAGTGAGGCCGCGCGTTGTTCTTCAGCTGACATTTGTGAAATCGTGACTCTTTTTGGTAGAATAAGGTGTGACAGGACAACGAAGGTAATTGTGATGCACTGGACCACTCATAGTGATGTTATTTGTAACCAGCAGAAAGCTGACATAACCAGAAGTTGTCGGCGGAACGATTATGCGGCTGTCTGTCGATGGACGGGTTCCTGTTCTGATTGCCATATTTGGGATAGGGCTCTCCGCTGTCGGACTGCCTTGGAATATTTCTGCGCCCTACGCGGGTTTAAACGATGTTTGGCTTGTTCAACCTATTGCATTAACTGAATGTGTCACAGAGATCAAGTCGGTCAAACTGCTTTGGTTATAAGTCAAGATGGTAGCAAAAGGCATCGAATACTCCGAGGATCCCGAGTACCCATCAAGTTGGCAGTCGAAGCAACAACGGAGATCTTCGCGATTAGAAGGGAAGTCACAGCACATTAGAATTGGCGCGGAGAGATTGGGGTTTTATTTTCCATATCGAAAGATGCCACTAGTAAGATCTTGAGATGCACAGTTCAGGAAATGCATATCAGAAGGTAACAACAACATGGCTCTTAAGAACGATTTATTTGCTGCCAAGTTCTACATAGAGTATATATTGTTGTATATGAACGTTGATTGCGACAAGAGTGCATTGCCGTTTGATACAAAAGATGCGCAAAAAGGCAGAAGAGACCTTTCCAGGAGACGTCTCATGCCATCGAGGGTATATAGTCTGTGATGAAATATGTAAGTGTCGCACTCGGAAGGACAGGGATAAAAGCTGGCAAATATCGGACGAGTTTTGACCTCCATCTGGGAGTGAAAAGCATGAACAGCGAGGATAGGATCATCAGTCCCACTGAGCTTCGAGCACCTTGGACTCCGGTTCCCACTGGTTTATGGCGTCGTCATTAGGATATCCGACGTATTGGACAAAGTATTCAGTTCCTTGCCCGTTCTCCCTGCGGCGGTGAGCGTACAGGATTCGAAGGGGACACGTCTCCCTGATGCCTTGTGCATCTCTTCCGCCAGCTTTATGCCAGTAGGCCATGAGCTTTCCTTCATCGCGTTCATGGACAAGTCTCTCGTCAACCCAACCCTCCCATCGGGCCCTGGACTTCGAGCCCTTGATAAACAAGGCCACGAAAGGGCCATCCTTGTCGCCGACGGTATCGACCTTGTGCTTGAGAATTAAAAAGTTGGGATGGACGGATTCCATTGCTGTCTTATGTTAGACTCTCTATACGGTATCTAGAGCAGAGGATTGGGACTCACGACTGGGGGTGATAGTCCAAGAATTGGGAGAGGAAATGTGATGGGCCATTTCAGATGTGTCAGCAGTGAGGGAGTTGCTGCTGCTGTACTGTGTATTGTCGAAATAGTAAGGGCAATTAATTATAATAGACGGTTGGTATTGGTGGTTATAGTATGACAAGGAGATAAATAGTGTTGGGGATTCTGAGAAATGTAAAGACAAATGTCGTTGATGGTGATGTTTGTGTTATGCTGGGCACTTTCAGACCAGATCGTAGAGAATAAATGTAAAGTTCTGAAGAATGGTGAGAATGAGAAGGAAGATGAAACTCGTCAGGACACGGGGACAAGGCGAGCTTTTATAGCTGTTATTGCCAACCTTTGCTCGTGACTGGGCTCATTGCCACACCACAGACTTCTGTTATTGAAGTTATTTGCGAGATCACACGACGGTATCAAAGTTAAATGTTGGGCAGCACCATACAGAGCAGAGGCAGGGATTTCTTAACTTGCAAGACCGAAAGTTTAAATCGCAAACTGGCCAAGAAGCCTTGACATTTCTGTCTTCATTGGCCATCTATCAAAACGCGATTGTAGCTCTATTTTCAGAGTTGAGACATTGTATACAGCGTGGTCGACCCATTGGCCAGGGTTCAGTAAGACTTTTCGGTTGCGAGAGTCTCCCATGTCGATTCAAGTTTTCATAGAGCTTATTTTAGGAACGTCTATGTTAACAACTACCACAGATGGTCGTGTCACAAAGCTTACCTCATAATCAGTGTTCATGCAGTTCCAGAACAAAATTATACACGTAGGGTCGCCTGGTACACACAGTATCTCATGCATAAGCTTCAGGGGTCAAGCCAATAGATGTTTTGTCATAACCAATTTCTTCGATGATTGATAGCTGTGTTGCATCGTGCCGTAACTATTTGAGATTTCCCTAACGTCCTCCCTTGCGACTCACTTGGTTTGCAGATATTCACAGTGGAAGCTGAGCCTGAAGATATGGGTCTGTCATGGGAGTCAGTCTAGGAAGCCTTTCCGCCTTCCACGAGCCATCACCCGCAAAGATAAACTAAACGCTAATAAGACTGAGCTCATAACCAAGTGGTGCATACATAATGTGCTCGATGTTTAAGTTCTCCACCTGAGATCAAGTCTTCATACAAACTTTGGACACAGAAGCCTCGGGATTGCCCTGTATGATGAGGACTATGGTACCTCAGACTGGGCCTAGGTCATCTTCCATGGAGCCGTAGATCTTCGTTTTTCTATTTCACCTGACTTTGCTACTTGTCTACTGCACTACAGCTCGTTTAGTAGGTCTGCATCAGGCTCTAAATATGATCACCAGGATTCTATCTCTGGGGGCATGAATGTCAATTTTTTACGGAGATTCAAGAAGTTATTGAGCAGTGCAGCCGTTGTTCACGAGTCAAAAGCATCTGCCCCAAGACGAGGTAGAGAACTTGAATAGAGAATAAAGTTCTGGATACGATCAGTATCGATCAGGAGCTTCTCTTCGTTTGAGACTTTGAGCTTTGGAATTCTCGGAGCCTACATGGCTAGTACGGATGGAATCCTGGCAAGACCTTTCTCCGTTCGATGCCGGGAAGTTTCTGAACCACGATTGTCTCGGCAGTATTTTAATTCCGACCCGGCATTTATTTATCATCCTTTGCTCAATTAAGGGGCTTTCTATCCGCACAACCGCCCGTCTTTGGCTAATCTACATTATTATGCTGCCAATCCTTTACTGTTATGCGTACCACGCAGTTTCATAAATAGTCTCTGTACCTCCCGGAACATTTCTTATCATCCATCATCTATCTCTCTCATTGATCGTATCTGGATAGACATACACCTTTATCAACAGAAGAAGCAAAATAAACAAAACACGAAGACCATGGCTATTATTGCTGTCGCTGGAGGCGCCGGAAAGCTCGGCCGCGCGATTGTTGAAGCCATCGTCGAAAAGGGTCAGGATACCGTGGTAGTCCTGGCTCGAGAGGTAATTATATCACATTACAAAACCTGACAGGAAGAGATCTGACACATGTTCCAGGCCAAAGAGTTACAAGGAGTGAAGGTTATCGCTGTCGACTACACCGACGTCGATAAACTTGCTGCGATGCTCGAAACCAACAGCATTGAAATCGTCATATCCACGATCAACGCCTTAGATGACGTTTCAGCCGAGCTGAACTTGATCCAAGCAGCTGAGAAATCAGCATCTACGAAACGATACATCCCCAGTATTTATGGCATTCAATACACTGAACAGTCAGTGCTGCAATGCCATGTCACTCAAACCTGAGAACAAGGCTAACCTTCGAGCGTAGGATAGCATCGTATTTTCCCATCGCTCGGGCCAAGCGCGGTGTCATTGCTGCCTTGGAAGCAACCTCGACACTCGAGTACACTGTTGTTTACAACGGCTTCTTCGCCGACACCTGGGTTCTTCCCAAGGTCAAGTCTTACCAAAGCCCTTTCGCTCTGGTCGTCGACGTCGCCAACAATTTCGCCGCCATTCCCGGGTCTGGGAACGAGCTTGTGACTTTCACTCATACCTTTGACATCGCGCGCTTTATCGCGGTCCTTGTTGGCGCTGCCAAATGGGACAAGGCGTCGTATGTGATTGGAGACAAGGTCTCGTGGAATCAATTCGTGCAATACGCCGAGGAGGCCAAGGGCGCCAAGTTCACGATCACGCATGACTCGATCGAGGACCTCAAGGCCGGTAGGGTCACAGAGCTGCCCTCTCACCCGCAGATGTATTCGTTCTTCCCCAAGCAGATGCTGCAGGGCTTCTGTGCTGCTTTTGGTCGCATGTTTGCTGAAGGGGAGTTCGACCTCAAGCCTGAGCGTACGCTCAATGAGGCGTTCCCTGAGGTCAAGGCGCGAAAGATCAAGGACCTTCTCTTTGAGGCTTGGGGAAAGTAGATTCAACAGTAGCTAGCTTATGATCAACAAAGTCCTGGTTGGCAGGAGGAAATTTGTGGGGAATAGGCATTCCTTGCCTATGATTACTAAGTGATGTCGGATGTATTTTAATTCCGACCCTTGTGACATTTGACAAATCAATTGGGTCGATTTTAGAAACAACGCCAACTTCAAAGACAAGCATGAAACCCTTTGACTCTTTATTCTATGATACCATCTATCAGTAATTTGAACTACTGAACGAGCGGAATGGATATTCAAGACGCGCGGGCCGTCGCTGATGGAACAGGCCGGCGAATTGGGAATGTAAGCCCCCGCAGTCATACGTCTTACCCTGCAGGACTAAATCCAATAGGCTTGTGTTCCGTGTAGAAGCAGCAAAGTACGATGTGACGGCAAATTACCGAGTTGTCAAAGATGCTTGAATCGAAAGATGACATGCCACTACGGTGAGCGGAGAGGTAGGGGGCGTGGCAAAAGGTGCGTTCCGTTATAACATGAAGGACTCAATCGTTGATTGCCAATAGCAAGCAGTACATCAAAACACTAGAGGAGCGCCTAAAGAATGTCGAAGTTGCACTAAAAGGCTCTCCTACAGTGAATCTCGATGTAAGTTCAGGGTCTGTAGATCCTGGACACTCCGATGAGATATCCGATAGCCATGAGACAACAGCGGCTAATCAAATTCAGTCCCTGCCGTTGGCATGGCCAGAAGAGATCACCAGCACCATAATCCATGCTCAGAAGAACAACATCAACCCTGAACGAAAAGTTTTCGCCCCACTCCCCCTGACAGAGTATATTTTACACTTGATACCCCACGCCTTAGAAGACATGTATGAAGCGCAGTCGCTCTTCAGCACCGACGATGTTTCGAAGCTTTTCAATGAGCAGTATTCAGCGGGCCCATCAAACTGTCACGCTAATCCTACTCGTTGGGCCACACTGAACGCTCTACTTGCCACTGGCATTCAATGGAAAGCTGACAACAAGGCAATAAAAGACTTGTACCCTCTTTCATGGGCATACTTCAAAAATGCCTCTTCCATCTTCCCAGAGATCGTCATGCACGCTGACGGTATCGAGTCCTGTCAAGCGCTGATTGCTATGGCTTTGCTTATGAGGGGAACTGCTGACGCCCGCGCATTTACGGCACTACTATCCGCGGCGGCGCATGCTGGCCACAGCGTTGGCTTGCAGTTGGAAGATATTCATGGGTCAAACAGCGTGATCGACGTAGAAAGGCGCAAGAGGCTTTTCTGGACGATATACGTGCTCCGATGTAATGCGTCGCTCAACTTTGACCTTCCCGCCCCGTCTGAAGAAGTTTATACCGAGCTCCCATCACAGGGCCTCGTAACAGACGCTGGCCTTAGTACAGATCTACTGAGGCATATGTCATCATTGGCACAGGTTCAGTCGAGAATAAGTCGATGCTCGAGTCCTGGCTCGTCACTCTCCAAGAACTGTGATAAGATGATCCAGGATCTTATTGAATTAGATATCGACCTCGAGTCATGGAGGACAGAACTGCCTCCAGACGTTCAGCCCACAGCATTGGACCAAGTGGACAATCTCGGCATCATACAGCTCCGCTTTGCCTACTATGCTTCTACTTGGAAACTGTATACAGCTATGGGGAAGCTTTATAGTGTCCCTCTCACGCTGATCGAACGAGAACAGCCAAATTTGCATCTGAGTACACTTCTCCCCACGCATAGCGCCAGAGCTACAATCTCCTTACTTCAAGGTCTATACTCACAGCCATTGGCATCTTTATGGTAAGCGCCTGCCTGATTATGTATTTCGTATACTGATGTCTCAGGCAAATCATCTGCTACCCAGTCTGTGCTGTTCTGATCCTCTTGACAGCAGTGCTCAATGGTCCTGGAGATTCAGAGGTGCTTTTGAACGTCGAATCAATTAGGACATTCGTCGTGTTTCTGCAATCCTTCCAAGACCGAGAGGAATGTGATCTGAATGGTCTTATCGAGTTTTGCTCCAAGCTGTACGATGTTGCATCGTTTGCACAACGCAGTTCAACAGATCTGTCGAACCAGAGTGAAGATGACACCCAAGGAGTATGGGGCCAGTATGCAGTAAGCCTGGATCACACGAAATGTCAACTCTGCTGACCTCTTAGGACTTGCGTATCCGCCTTTCAGGTTCTCAAGACCCCATGCTACTCGCGCAGGGCCTCCTTACCAATATGCCGCTTCTGGGCGCGAAAGCAACGGAAGTGTTCTCCGGCACAATAGCAGAGGCTAGGGAGGATGGGTTCACACGGCTTGTACCCAATGTACTCAAACCCAGCTCATTCAACTTCTTAGCCAAGCAATAGACAATCAGCGCATCAGCATCAGCCACGTTTTAGGCATCTGTCCAACCTAACCATGTCCTTTGGCGCTCAAGCCCGTGAAATATAAACCATTTGCTGAACTTGATTCCACTCTCTACTCATAGTACCCAGCTTGTACTTTAGTAATCGCTTCGCCTATCGCTCCCATCGACGATGTCTCCCTTTTATGGTATTGCATGTAATAAGCGCCGGCCGCGTGATTTGTGTCATTTCTCAGAACTGTTTGATGATAATAACACTCTGTATTCAATGCTCTCAATAAATGTCTTCCTTTATTGACTTCAGATCTCTCAGGTCTGATTCAGTAACTCTGAGAACCAAACCCTTGTCACGAAACAACATATAGGAGTCAAACTGCATTGCCTGATGTGGCTCAGCCAGCTGGAAGTCGAAGTGGCGAAAGAGCTAGAGCTCTCGTTAGCATCCGAGCAATTGCATCGGTTTAGTCCGTACCTCGAAGAAAATCTTATTCAGTTCCATTAAGGCGATCGGCTTCCCCAAACAACTCCATCTCCCAAGCCCAAAGGTCAATTCAACATCTCGCTTTAGCTTAGCACTTGTCTTATCATCAACCTCCGTGAATCTCTCTGGTCTGAAGATGTGGGCATCCTTGCCAAACAAGGTCTCTGAGCGGAGGAGTCCTGAGAAATTCATTCCTATATTGGTGCCTGCAGGGAGAAATGTTCCGTTATGGAATTCACCGCCAGTTGGAACCTCCTTGAAACTCATGTTGGTCGAGACAGAGCGGATACGAAGACATTCATATACAACAGCCTGTTGATATCTTTAGTTATGTTTCCACTAGTAATTCATATTACGAACCTGTATATATGGTAGAAAAAGCGATTCTGCGTTGCTGATTGGTCTCGAAGCCCATCCTTCGCGGACGGCGTTTGCGACCTCTTGCTTCAAGGCCGAATACACGTGGGGTGTTGCAAGGATGTGAAGCATGCCTGCTCTGAGAACAGATGCCGTGGTATCCGAACCTGCGACGAACATGAATATTGACTCAATCTCGCATTCGTCTTTACTCAACCCGTGCTTCTTGAATGAACTCTTCAGGGAGTATTAGTAGGGCTCTGAGACTCCTCAATCGGTAGATAAAAGAGACTCACGAGCATATCCCGCTTGACTTGGCCATCACCGTGGTAGAATTCCTCAACAACCTTATTGGTAAGGCCCATCATTTTCCCTATTCCTTTCTTGTCTTTGATACTCGGACCAAACAGCCAGAGAAAGAGGGGAGAGAAGACAATGTTCCGAAGCCATGGAACGTCGGTTGTTAACGAAACAACAGGCAGATAATCGTTCAGCGTATCGAAGAAACAGTGCATGTCCTCGTCTCTGTTCAAGCAGCCAAATTCCTGGCCTAGCGCAAGGCGGGAGATGACGTCTAAAGTAAAGAGGCCTGCGGTTTTTGACCATACAAGCGGACGGAACTCTTTAGGCTTAGATATATATTTATCCTGTATCAGATGGATGAGGTTCATGATCTGCTCATCAACAGCAACTTCCGGACCCATTGTTTCTTTTCCACTGTAACCATATATAAGCTTTGCTTTCATTTTGTCATGGGCTATCGGGTCCCTCATCATGAAAAGAGACTCATGCCAGGGATTCAATCGGGAACCGCTGTAAGATGCTCCTTTAGCATATGAGCTTTTCGTGCCGTTGATTCTGCGCAATAGCTCCAGATCATCCGTAAAAACCTCGTACGGGCCGACCCTGACTATAGGGCCATATTTCTTATTGAGCTCAAGGTGAGCCTGGTATTGTTTGCCACTGAGAGCTAATCGGGCAAGCCAAAGATATGAAAACTTGGCTAAGAAGGGCCCGGGTATATGACGTAGACGATACCATGCCATAATAGAAGATACGATGTACCAAGCGATGATGGCCAGAGCGGCAGCCCACCAATGGCTGGATTTAAAGTGCTCAAGAAGCATATTGATGAGTTGTCTTCAGTTTGATAAAGAACAGAGGAGATTGAACAGCCTGAAGAATTGGTAGGGCTGGAATCATATACCCAGAGGCATGGTTTAAATCCCTCTCGGTGGCGGCGATAATCCCAGATTCGGCGGCGGGAGTATGCAAGCTGACCTTGGCTTTGATGCAGCAGTGATATATTACTGGAGTGTTTTAGAATGTTATGGGCCGTTGTGACTGTTCTGGTCTACCTGCATATCTAGCGCTGCGGCACCGAGATATTTTTTTAAACTCGCTCCGTTATTTACCCCTCCCGAGTGAGGCCATCCATACTGAATCTGGAAATTCTATCGGGCAGTTCAAACCGAGTAGTCATCATCAAGGTAAGTTCCATGTTTTGTTTTGAGATTTTATTGAATGCGAGTATCCAAGATACGCATCCTATTCATCTCGCAGCGCAGCCGAGATTGCTTTCATTCCTCCTTCAAGCTCCTCCCGAGTAGGCCACCCATAGCCGAGCCTGAAAAAGCTATCGGACATTTCAAACCAATGACCAGGTCCAACATATGTCGCATGATTATTGAGGAGCCTCTCGTAGAACGCCGAAAATCCACCCTTAGGTTCCTTCTTAATACGAGGAAAGCAGACGACGCCACCAGTCGGCTTGACCCATTCCAGCAGCTCCTCGCTTTCGATCCAAGACTCTACCATCTGAAGTCGGACCCTCATCTCATTCGTTGTGTCGCCCAAGATTGTCTCACGTCGGGACAAGACATCGACTGCAATCCACTCGTTGATGACACTGCCACTGATGCTGATCTGTTCCTTGGCAGCGAGGAACGTTTCCTGGAGGGTCTTGTTGCTGGTGATAAGCCAACCGATGCGGACTCCAGGCATACCAAAGGACTTTGAAAGTGAGCAGACGCTCAGAACATGATCGCCCAAAGAGGCGGCGACAGGGAGCTTTTCGGCAAAAGCAATGTCCCGATATGTCTCGTCGACAAGTAGCAGAACACCCTTTTTCTTTGTGATAGCAACAAGTCTGTCGAGTGCCTCCCGAGAGAGTGTAGAGCCGGTAGGGTTATGTGGGCATGTCACGGACACAAGACGAGTGTTGGACTTGATAGCAGCCTCAACCTGGTCCATGTTGGGCTGGAAGTGATTCTCAAAGGTGACATCGATGTATGAGATCTCGCAGCCAACAGCCTTGGGAGTTTCCAGGTTGGTTGCGTAGTTGGGTCGTACTACGACAAGATGATTACGCCCTGAGTCCGGGGTGCTACCCAATTGGGAGGTTGTGATGATGAACAGCGCCCCAGCAGCCCCAGATGTGATGAGAACGTCGTCTGCACTCACGCCAGCGTCGTCGGCGATGAGCCTTCGCAACTTGGTCTCGCCGCGGTGCTCATTGTAAAGAAGCGTGAGGTTGGGGACCTTGATGCCCAGTGACTCCAGGGTCTGATCGGTAACGGAGCTTTCTGAGAGATTGTACTTGATCTTGTCGTAGCCGTACTCTTCGGGCGACTCTATCTCGATGGGCATGCGCTCAAACTTCATTTTTTCGTCAGGTGAGCTAGGGTAGCTGATTTGTGTTCAAAGATTGAGAAACAGGATGCTTGAAGTACCTGATGTTTGTAAAAAAAAATGGCAGACACATTGTTGGCGAGGGCTGATAGCCTTGGATATACTGGCGCTTCGACTTGCCTTCCCAGGACGGCTGCCATTGAGCCGATTGTATCCGTGCAAGACATATCCCGTGAACCTGGTGTCAGTGGGGCTTGGTAAACTCCCAGTCTGCTTTCCACGATAACTGATTTTCGGGAATAATGATTACCCATGCTTCTTATACAGATTTTGGAAGTCTTATCTTGACAAGAGAGCTCTCATCAAAGAGGTCCTCATTCTGTAAATGTCATATGGCACGCTCACGGTCACATGCCTACTTATGAAAGGACTCCAAATTAAATTTGTCATTGAAGCGTCTTTGCTTCCAAGGGAAGGCCCTAGGTAAGTAATACATTGCCTCGTGTTTGGAACACCATTTCCAGCCCATCATCATTACGAATGGGCGGCGCGGCCCAACGGCCCTCCAGGAGCTTAATGACAGTAGCACTATTTCCAAACCCTCCACTCTCTTCCCGGATTTTACATAGAAGTGACTCAAAAACGCCATGTAGACTGGCCTCGGCCATGGATCCAATGATATAGAGTGGCCAAACAAGTCCCCGGAGAGGAACGGATTGGGGCCAGTTCCTCAGCACGATGACCGACTCTGAAACCGCGTCCTTGACTTCCGGAAGAGATGCCCAGGGACCCGAGACTATTGTGCTCGACAAGACTAATGATGCAAGTGCGAAAATATGCGAGACGTAGGGAGCCGGTGAAACGTTGCCTCGAATATCCCCTCCCGCCTGTTCATTTTGACTTATTAGTTATGCAGCCTGATGATGCTATTAGGACTCACCTTTGCAGCTCGTTTTAGTTCGGTGATGCCGTCTTGTAGTTCCTTTTCTATTCTTTGACCCCTCCTCACTAATTCCGGCACGCTCAAGGTCCCTTTTTGCTTCATATCCTTTTTCCAGGCATTGAGATGTGCCAAATCTCCAATTGCAATCATGACCCAGTTGTAACAGCCCATCAGATCAGCCATTACGATACCTGAGCCTTCTAGCCATTGCCGATAAGGTATCCGTGGGACACGCCCCGTCGTTGCGCACGCCAATATGTCATGCCACAATGCTTCAGCCACGAGGAAGTTAAAATCAGGTTGTACTTCAGGGCCATCATCACGGGAGGTATGTATTGGAGAAGGCAAGGAATTTTCTGATACAGATGAGGTCTGGAGCAAGGCGCCCGGTGAATGCATAGCGAGAACAGCCGTGACGGCGTCGAGATGCGGAAGCCAATCGTACTCAGCTCCATTGAACACCTATCAAAATAGAGAATGAGTTATACAGCAAGATGAAATTAATTGAATAACCTACCTCGAAGCTAATTAATGTCAAACTCGCTGCTATAAATTCCGCAAGCTTAGCCGGATCGTTCAGAAGCGTTTC